CTCCCTGGCCAAGCAGCTTCACAAGTCCGAGTTGGCCGTGCTTTGTTTTTCTTTCTTGGGCTGCTGGTAATGGAACTCATGGCCTCCTGCATGCTAGGCAAGTTCTCTGCCACAGAGCTACACTGCCAGCTCCAAGTGGTAGAGCTTATTGTTTAGTTCAGTGTTAACTGGCTGTAACCGGACTTCCTTTGGACTGGTAGCTCCTGCTGAATAATGACACAAAGACATTAATTATGAAAGCTTTGCTTTTAGCTTAGGGCTTGTTCCCAACTAGCTTTTATAACTTAAATTAACCCATTTATATTAATCTACGTTCTGCCACGTAGGTTACCTCTCCTCCATACTGTATGTTCAACTTCCTCCATGTCTTGTTACTGAGTCCCTGAGTCTTCTCCTGAATTCCTCTCTTACCAGAAGTCCCACCTATCCTCTCCTGCCTAACTATTGGCCATTCAGCTCTTTATTAAACCAATCAGAAGGTGCCTTAGGCAGACAAGATACAACAGACGCATCTTCAGTGTACAGAAAGATTATCCTACAATTGGCGCCATATAAACAGATGCTCTGAGACACTGTGTTCTCTTATTCTTTTTCTTCTTCACTTTAGACTAGGCTGGCTTCAAATTCACAGTCCTTCTGCCAACGCCTCCCAAGTGCTGGATTTATAGGCATGCTCAGACAAGCCAGTCTTCCTTGTGTTCTACTCACATTATTCTGAACATATATACACACCTCTGTAAGATTTAACTTAAAAAAAAATTCATACTGTGTGTGTGTGTGTGTGTGTGTGTGATGCAGTCATGCTCCAGTGAATCAATAGAAGTCACAGGATAATTTGAGGGAGCTGGTTTTCCCCTTCCACCAAGCAGGTCCCTAGGAAGCAAACTTAAGTTGTCAAGTTTGGTGGCAGGCACCCACTCAGTCATTTTGCCATCCAAGATTTGCTATTAGAAGAGATTCGCCTGCTCTAAGATGTGATCGGTATAAAATTTCACTGAAAATATAAAAGGAAATGCTAAGTCCTATCTTTAAGAGTCTTTTGAGTTTGGTCATGTAAGAAGCCATGTCCAATCCGGGCAGTGGTGGTGCACGCCTTTAATCCCAGCACTCGGTGATAGGCCAGCCTGGTCTACAGAGCAAAATCCAGGACAGGCACCAAAACTACACAGAGAAACCCTGTCTCGAAAAACAAACAAAAAGCCACACTCCTTTAATCCTAGCACTAGGAAGGCAGCGACAGGCAGATCTCTGCAAATTAAAGGCCAGCCTGGTCTACAGAGTGAGTTCCAAAACAGCCAGAGCTACATAGTAAGACTCTGTCTCAAAGACAAAGACAAACAAACAAAACACCCCCAAAACTCATGTCCTCTGAGTCCCTTATCCCAATATGCAAATGCCTATCACATTGGACAATGTCTGACTCCTGGAAGAAGCAAGGAGTTGATGTGCCATGTGAACTGTGATCAACTGAGTTTTTCAATAACGGAAACTCTCAAAACCTTCATACTTAGCCATGAAAAATAAGTCTTTTAGGAAGCCAGATCTATGGTTTTTGTACTTAAAGCCATTTGAAGACTACTGCTTACAAAATGGTATATATTATATAATATAGAACTAAGAGTCAGGGTGTAAACCCACAGGAACAAAGTGAACAGGAACTAGCTCAAATGTTTATCCACTCCTTCCCTACCCTCGACTTGTAGACTAGACTTTGCTCCAATTGCTCAATACTAGGTGTCAGAGGGAGAGCAACTACCGAGATCCAAATCGGTCCTTGAAAACCTGCAGTGCTGGGTAATGCGGTGCTGGCTGCGGGTGGCCAGCACAGCTCCCCACTCCCCTCTGGGTTCCACCTAAAAAGGCCTAGTCACCGACACCTGGAGAGCCTCAGTGAAGCAGGATACCACCCCACTGCCCAGAGTGCAGTCAACAGTAGACTACAAGCTGCCTTCTTCTCTTGGTCTCAGGGGCTGCAGCGTGTACGGAGAAAGAAGAAAGCCTCCATTAGACCAGCTAGGAGGGAATGGAAGAGTGGCAAAGTAAAACAAAAGAACTCACCATAAATCCAGCAGCCCAAGAGCCACAGCCACATCATATCCTAAAATAAGAAAAAGATGTCTAGCCGGGCAGTGGTGGGGCACACCTTTAATCCCAGCACTCGGGAGGCAGAGGCAGGCGGATCTCTGTGAGTTCAAGGCCAGCCTGGGCTACAGAATGAGTTCCAGGAAAGGCACAAACCTACACAGAGAAACCCTGTCTCGAAAAAACCAAAAAAAGAAAAAAAGAAAGAAAGAAAGAAAAAGATGTCTCATTGGAAGGGAGGGCCAAGAAAGTGGGGGAAGTAATTCACAAAGAAAATTAAAGAAATATAAACAAGAAAAAAGAAAGGCAGTCCAAAACAGCATCCACCTCTGGAGGGCTGAACCAGGGTGGGATGTCACTGAGCTGTTAAAAGGCTAGACTCAAAATGAAAATAGAAATAAACCAGAGTTCTTATAAGAAACATCAAAAAAGGGGTGCAGGGGATGAAAAACCAGAGACAATACAGCTTCCAGAATGAAGGATTTGGCTTTTCTCATTTAAATGCAAGAGACACACATCATATACCTATGCATGTGATCCTGGAATGAAGATAGAGGACTTTAAAAACTTGTATAAACTTTCTCTTTCACCATCCCAAAGCCTATCTATGAAATATCAAGATGTCACTGGACTTACAATGCAACTTCATACACTACAGACAAGATGAATGTTCCCAAATTCTGTGATTAAATTAACTTTAAACTATGTATGTATGAATTCTACATCCAGCTAAACTGTCTAAAAGTCAGAGTACAGCTTCCGACTTGCCAGCACTCTATTTGACATCACAGGCATGTTTTCACAGGAAGCCTATTAGAGGCCGTCACTCATTCAGGTCAGTGTTAAGCAAGGTATAAGAGAAATGGGCTTTCCCCAGATGAAGATGCAGGATGATGGCAGTGGGCAAGCGATTCTACAGACATGCAGAAAGCCAGAAGTCTCTCCAGATGGGACTGCTGACTGACCTCAATGCTGGGCAGTATGCAAGGCTAATCGTATTCTGGGCTAGGCTAGCACATTGGGCTGCAAATTTCTCTAACGGTACCTAATTTATAATCAATCAAATGAATTAAATGAAAATGGAGGTATACTTCCCCATGTCATCAAGAGTTCGAGGCTAACACAGCTCCACTTGACGCAGACAGCAACTCAACATCATGGTAGTTCTCCACTCCTTTGCCTCCTGCTCAGCCATGCTCAGCATGTCTGCTATCTTTCCTTATGGTGGCAAGACAGCAATCTTCAAACACCCTGCCTCATGACCACTGCTGCCAGGCAGCTGGATTGGAGAGCTGGGTTCTCAGAAACCATCCCCAGCAAATCCACCTTTCTCCGACAATTCCCTAGCTGGACTGTGCTCTAAACCTACCACTGCTCTTCTGCGTGAGACTCAAAGGAAACAGGCAGATGGCTGGTGAGTAGTGCACGCCTGTGACCTACATGAGACACATGAGGTGGGAGACACAAGTGGATGCCAGAATAACCCCAGGGAGCCACACCACACAGACAGAGGAGGAAAACGGTTGTGGGGGAGGTGGTAATGCAACCTTCTAGTGAGAAGTTTTGCGGGGAGGGCATCTCATAACAGGAATGTAAAAACCCAAGTAAATGAAAATAAATTTGACAGTGACTAACTATAGGAAAAATAAAATGGTAGTGGGTACAAAATGGCAGCTCAGTATGTCATAATTCAATTCAACGATTTATGCAGAACCCTTTTATCAGATGCAGCTGTACTAGGGTGAGGAAAGAGGAAGAATGGTGACGTTCACAGCATGTATTTTCTGCAGTATGAAATCTCAAGTATATAAAATGTATATATTCAAGTACGTAATAGAAAACATATTTAGAATCTGCCAGAGCTAAGAATGCAAGTCATTAGGGGAAGCGTGAGTTAGGGGTTTAGGAGATGGCTGCTTTTGTTCCAAGCTGCACAAGTGTTCTTGCAAATTACGTACATGCTTATTTTTTCACTTTTAAGGATGAACGTGTAGCACTCCCATCTCTCATCTCTCTGAATGGTCCTTTCTATAGAGAACTCAACCCCAAATAATGATACGTTCATCATACAGCAGCAAAATCGAATTGTCTCTTCTCCATTTACCACCTCACTCCATGCTCAGCTGCGCTGAGAATCCAACCAACAGAGACAGGTGTCACCAGTAGAAGAGTTCCAGAAGCCACAGTAGCAGTCCTGGGACCTTGAAGTCAGGGCAGGCAAGGCACAGCCAATTCCCCAGAGGACGTAACTACTCACAGACCAGACGGGTGTCTCATCAGACATCTGGAGGAAAGACAGGTTCTGTACTGAAAAAGCTGCTACGTGAGCCCAGGTGGTCTACAGACCTTCTCTAGCTTCGCTGCTGAGAGCCACCTGTACTTTTAAAATCTAAACACCCCACCAGCACAGAAACCTCTACACTCTAACACTTTAGCCCTTTTTACTCACCCTAAGGGCTGTGATTATTTTAGGGGCTGTCCCAAGGAGAATGCCCCATCACAAGGTATATTTACTCTGAAGGCCCAAACCCAGAGATAAGACTTTCCTAGCAACCTTAACCTTAGCAATGACCTATGATCTCCTAACTCCTCTAGCACAGGGTCCTCCATGTGCTGAACTTACCAGAGCAGCTGTCCCCACCAAAGGCTGCCACCAAGGGCAGGGTCACTTTACCGCTCCCACCACACATTCCACGTGGATTTCTCACGTCCTTCCTTCTTCTATCGTAATAGTCCGTGAAAGCCCACCTTCTCCAGGAAGTCTTCTTGGACTGCAGCTGTCTCCTTTCCTAGATCAAGTCATGCAACCACACACACACCCACCCAGGCCCATCACACCAGTTGGATGCCACACTGCCACACTGCGACCTGTGCAGTACTCGGCCTGACAGATGAGACGGTTGGCATTAAACAGAAAGTCTCCTTTAGAAACAATTTTATATAAATAGGTCCTTGAACAAAGGCTACATGTATAGAGTGTCCAGTTATGAGTACGGTGGATCCGCCCTTCATCTCCACGGGAAGCAGCAGGTTCCAGCTTGCTCATCCTGCATGCCTACGCAGTCAGCTTTTCCAGTAGAGTTTCGACTCCTCTGCTGGTGCTTTTGGTTTTTTCCAATGTCGGAATCAGGCTTTTCAGTCCAGCTTTGACTTTGTTTACAACTTCCTGGTCACAGCTCTGAAGAAGGCTAAAGAAAAGAAAAGGTTGACAAAATTAAACGTCATAAAAGCCCTGAATCTGCTACACCACCCACATGGACAGTGTAACTAAGACGCTGTTCAGTCATCTCCTGTAGCTATGTACAGTGTATTACACAGGTTTTTTTGGTTTTTGTTTTTTTTTTTAAACTCATCAGATGAGGGCCAGTGAGATGACTCAGCAGGTAAAGGCACCTGCCTTCTTACCAAGCCAATGAGCTCCATGTCTGGAACTCGTATGGCAGAAGAACTGACTCTCACTTCTTCCCTGACCAGTATATGTGTGCTATGGCATGTATGTATGCACAGATACCCACACCCACCAAATAAATGTAGTTAAAAAAATTAAAATTCACCAAATGAATGTCTACATTCTGAAACTATGGAAATGCTTCATATCTTGTGGGTGGAGTCACTGAGACAAGACTCCATTGACTTTGATTATCTTATGACTTAATTGCATCCTGCCTTAAAACTGTTTGGCAGGTGTGGTGGTTTGAATGAGAACGGCCCCCGTAGGCTCATATATTTGAATGTTTGGTTCCAGTTGGTGGAACTGTTTGGGAAGGATCAGGAGGTGTAGCCACTGGGGTTTCAAAAGCCCACACCAGACCCAGACTTGCTCAACCTCTCTGCCTCCTGCTTATGGGTCAGATGCTCTTAGCCACTGCTCCAGTGCCATGTCTGCCTGTCTACTGCCACGATGGTCATGGACTTACCTTCTGAAACTGTAAGTAAGCCCCCACAAAAGGCTTTTCTTTTATTAGCTGCTTTGGTCATGGGTGTCTCTTCACAGTAACAGAACAGTAGAAAGAGGGTGCTTTACTCACGTACTGACAGCACAGCACCACATGCCTAAAGATGGCCAAGGAGCACTGTCTGCACAGGTGAGCTCACCCAGTGAACAGGTGTGGCAAGCAAAGCATGGGAGGAAAGCCAAGTGTTAGTGACCTTGTCACTGAACTCTACACCTACGACACACTGTGCTGTGGAAGTGGAAGGGCATAACCTAATAGCGCTCCTGATTTAGCAAGAAACCTGCCTTCTGTCAGTAACCATACAACCCAGAGCATGTTGAATGCCTAAGACTTGGTTTCCTGATCTGGAGAATGGGATTAACAAGAGAATTCACCTTTCTCCTCCAGGTTGTTTGCTTTTGGTGGCAAACTGAACCCAGGATCTCACACATGCTGGGTACATACTGCACCACTAACTATGTGCATTTTAAGGCTGCACTCTGGTGCCAAGCATAGCCACACTCATGCTAAGCCCATGCTCAATACTGAGCCAGGCCCCCAGTTCCCAGAGGGCTGTTTTTTTAAGCTAGAGCTTGATACTTAGTAAACAATAAATGTGAACCATTAAACAAGGCTGGGTCACAGGTACCAGACCACAGGCCACTAGGCCCAAATTTCCTTTCCCTCCTAAGTTCTTTAGGACCACAAGTAAATGTCAACCTCTAAAACACATTCTAGGAGATCATTTGGCATTTTCAAAAGTCCCCAGTCCCAGTAACTTCCATCACGTCAACAAAGAGGAAGGTGGGTTAGCAGCACCAGGCAGCATCCTACAGCTCATAGGAGATGACAATGGGTGCTAGCAAAGTGCCCTGAAATGGATTTGTCACTCAGTGTCTTTACAGTATCACCTTGGCTAAACGGTCACATGGTACAGAACATTAGTACAAGTTAGCACTATTAAGTATGCACTAAACACAGGCATAGTGAGAGGCATTCTACATGCCTTGAGTTCTTAACAGCTTTAAGATTATTATTAACTTTTTGTTTTACAACCAAGAAAAACCAGGAAAGCTCAATGATTTTCTAAGTCACACAGTTAGGCAGGGCTTGAAACCCAGGTAGACTATCTAGGGCCTATGTTCTCAGGTGCTAGAGAACTCTACAGAGTTATTTCTCTGTAAAGCATCCAGAGCTTTTCCTCTTTTCACCCAAAATGCTCTTTCAGTGACTTAATAATGACTGTGGCAGAGACAACAAACACAGCATTAAATAGTACCAAAAGAAAACATATTTGAACTAAAATGTAAACAGGCAGGGATTTTGGCAAACAAATGCTATTCCAGTATCCAGCAAATAAGACGAATGCATTTAAAGCCACGTCACATTCAGCTTCTGTTTAGAACCTCAGACACTGCATGTGTCTCCATACAGTTCCAGGCAGAGCTCCATAAGAAACACGAATCATTCTTCTGTCTGAGATCTACCCATGGGAGTGCTGAGGGATGAGCAAACTTTACACATTAATTTCATGGCATCACTGAAATTTCCAGTTAACCGAGCAGAATGAAAGCATGTCAGTAGGTGTTAACATTCCAAATGCCTAGTAAAGAAATGCAGGACAAAAAAGTTCCTGTCGCAGCGAATGGGTTCTGACTCTTTAACATCCACTGGGATATGAACTCATTTCTCTAAGAAACAGAGAGCCAGATCTGCATGTAATACCCATACATTCAAAGACACTGACTACGTAAATATGAACTCTTGTGTATGTAGACCAGACCGTATATTGGAATTTTTAGTCTACTATTTACAAGCCACACAGCTATACTGTACAGCAAGCTCCACAAACAAGGTGGAAGCCTCAGACTGGAGTACGTTTTCTCATAAGCAGTGGATGTGCTGGTCAGTTTTTGTCAACCTGACACAAAGTAGAGTCCCCGGGAAGAGGAGACCTCATTGAGGAACTGCCTCCATCAGACTGGCCACAGGGGCACTTCTTAACTGTTAACTGATGGAGGAGGGCCCAGCACACCGTGCCACGCACTAGCCCTAGGCAAGTGGACTTGGGCTGGGTAAGAAAGGGAGCTGAAGGTAAAATGGGAGCAGACTAGTAAGCAGCGTTCGTCCACGGTCTCTGCTCCAGGTCCTGCCTTGGGGTTTTGCCCTGACTTTCCTCAGTGATGGATTGTGATTGGGAGTTGGAAGATAAAATAAGCCCTTTCCTCCCAAAGCTGATTTGGCCAGTGTTTTATAACTGAGAAGTAAACTAGGATGCAACAGAGCAGAAGAGAAACAGTAACTGATTCAAAAGCATACAGATGCTATAAAATGACCTGTACATTATAAACTCAACATAACCTAGTCCAGAGAGCAGTCTGTAAGCAAGGACTCCATTTACACATCAACTTCTCTCAATTAACAACTCCTTTATCAATTCCAGAATCTCTAAAGACAATGAAAATAAACTCTCAAGTTAGGCTTGACTCAAAGAGCTTTGTGACAGTCCAGAGGCAAACAACTTACTCATTAAGAGAAAATGTAATTGTGTTTTGGTCAAAACTACAAATGCAATGAAATTATGTATATTGCACATGTCAAAATTCTGTGACCTTTGACACCCACAAGATGACAGTTAAATCTGAGGACTGAAAAGCTCCATTTGCTTTTAAAGAATTTTTAAAATTAATTTTTATTTTATGTACATTGGTGTTTTGCCTGCACATATGTCTGTGTGAGGGTGTCAGATCCCCTGGAACTGGAGGTACAGACAGGTTGGAGCTGACATGTGGGTGCTGGGAATTGAACCCGGGTCCTCTGGAAGAGCAGCCAGTGCTCTTAACCACTGAACCATCTCTCCAGCTCCCTTTAAAGAAAAATTTAAGTCACATCTGTTTATTGTTTGTGTGTGAGCGCACAGCTCCTTGCCACAAAATGTGTGTACATGTCGGAGGGAGTTATTTCTCTCCTTCTATCTTAGGGGTCTTGGAGATGCAACTCTGGTAGTTGAACTTGGTGGCAAATGCATTTGTCTCACCAGCCCCTATATTTCCTTTTTAATATTTGTCTGGACCATGAGTGATGGAGTAATACCACACTGCTGGGAATAAATTCTAGAAAAAGAAATAAAGGTAAAGAAGTGTTGCATGATGTATCCACCAACCTGGAAAGAATGATGGCACCCCGATTGATGCTGGCCCAGGACTTGAGGTTCTTCATGCCAACATGCTCTATAAGGGTTTTTGCAAAACAACCTGTAAAGTAGACCGGAACTTAGTGAACATCAATACAAACTCCCACCCCTCATCTCAATACCCTTTAGTTTGCAAATGTTTCAACAGTAAAGTTAAAAATAATCCTCACCTATACACACTAAAATTCTAGTACAGATTTAGTACTATGTTAATACTGCCAATTTTCTCAACTCTGATGCAAATTCCAAACTATTTTTGGCAGTAATTACCCAAGAAAAACAAATTATTTTAAAAAGCTCATTTGGTCACATCTACATTTCTTTGTAATACTTAATGATTTAACCTTGACCTACTCAGCAAGTAAATGTTTGACAGCGCCATTTCACATGCAGCCAAAATTGGTTCCCCTTGTATAAAAAGGCTGAACTGGAAGGGACCAATAACGTGGTTAGTGGCTAAAGAATGACCATTTGGGTTAGTCATGGCAATTTCTACGATGCTTTCATAGCCATATATCAAAAATAATTATGCCTAATGTTCCGGCTCTGAAGGGTGAGGCAAGGGGACTTCCATGAGTTTCAGGCTAGCCAAGACTCCCCCACCCTAAACACTGTTCATCTTAACTCTGTTTGCAAGGTCTTGGCATCTTATTCACTGTGTCCTCTATGTGCAACTCATTGTACATTGTGTGCATTTCTAGATGCTGTCAGCCCCCATTAAGGGTGGAGTCTAAGTCTTCTGCTGACTCTGGGTGGTCTCACTGCTCAGACCAAGAGCACATGGTAGAAGTGACACGGGATGACTTCTGAGGATTAATGATGAGGCAAAAGCGTACACGTGCTTTGTTTCCTTGGGATGCTCAATCTACGAACCAACCACTGGGGCCAGGAAGTGAATCAGTGGGTACAGGACCTGAGCTCAAGTTCCTAGGACCCATGCAATGCTCAGATTATTCTTATACACTCACTCCTATAATTCCAATGGTAGAAACAGGAGAATTCCTAGAAGCACAAGGGCCAGCTGGCCTCATCTGACCTCCACACATATGCCATGACTCACATATATCTATATTCACACACACAACATGCCACAAATAAAAAATAAAAATAAAAAACGAATCAACCACCATGTGTGCAAGGCCACGCAGTCTAAGAAGAGGAAGGGAGGCTGCTGGCTCCAAGGTAAAACTGGTGGAAGTCTGGTGAGTGAGCTACTGTAACAGTGGGTACACTCCACTCCACTAAACCCCAAATGACTGCTCAGAGAACCACTCAGCCTGAGGTCTGTCACACAACATTACATAACCGAACAGACAGACACACTCATTTGTGCTTGAAAATGACAACCACCCACCCAAGGCTAACAGCCTTGTTTTAGGATTTCTGGCATTTTTACTTTGAAAACTCATTAGGAACTTTTTTGGACATTAACAACGTGTCTAACTCATCTAAACTATGCATTGACTTTTTCAATAATGGAAAGGTTGCTTCACTACATCTTATTCCTGACTATTACAGCGTCTTATCTAAAAACGGCAGGAAAACCAGGCCCGAGTCCTTATTTTAAAGTTTAGAGTGAGAGGTGACAGTGCTGCCCTGCACTAACGGCCCTGCTAGCCACAGCACTGCAGGCCGTCTCAAGAAACTGCTCAAACTGCATGGGAGGCAAGAAGTCCACCAGTGAGCTGCAGCCCGGCCCTTGAAATTTAATCATTACCTAGTCACAGGCATGAATTCTACACATCTGGTAAATCCCACCTGGACCTAAATGACCAGTATAAAGTCCAGAAATGCAGCAATTCCATGTAAGACACACAGCCTACCTTCTCTTCCATTTTCTTTCATCTTTTTATCTTGCTCTATTAACCATTTGAGAACCAGATGTCCTGCAGGATGCTCGGCAACATGAAGCTACAAAAGAACCCAAGCGTGTTATTTCAAAAACTGTCATCCATCTCCGGCACATGAGCCTATCTCTAGCCCATGTATAGACATGGATGCAGTTAAGTTTCACATTTTAAGAAATCTTTATCCAGAATACCCATCACATTCCCAGGGTGCAGCAAGCATAGCTCTGTGGGAGATCACAGTCCCCCCAAGGTAGTTCAGGGATTGGCGAGCTTCTGTTTAAACAGTACCACACAATGTTCTAAAATCAGGTGAAGCTGCCAGCTCTTCCCATGGTAATACACTGATCTGATATACAAATAAACCCCTTGGGAGAACACGACATGGTGTTTAAGTACCATTCACTACCATGACCTAAAGAGCAGGCCACGAAAACATTCTGCAGCTTACTTGCTGGCCTTACCAACTGTTCCACAGTAACAACAGTCTCCCCTCATTTAGTGTGAGAAATAATGAGCACTATTTCATCATACATTCATCTGATCTGCTCCAGGAAGCCAGGGGCTTCAGATCACAACCCACTTGTCTCTTCCAATGCATGTGTCAGTAGCATGCCAGGCACTCAATACCATGCATCCTTTTTATTCAGAATCAAATGCATATGGGTATTTAACATTGCTGAGTGCCAGACCTGACCCATGGCTAGAAGGAATTAGAGATGGAAAGAATAACTGTGCTGTGGAGAAGATGCTGGACTGTTTAGTCAACAGGTAGCCCCCAAGCTATTTCCTCCAAAGGCTGTGTTCTTAGGGGCCACATCCTCAGTGGCTGTAAGCAGACCTAGCCACCCAGTCACTCTGCCAGAGATGGGTCTGGAAGCAGATGGGACTCAAACCAATTCTAGCTAATGACATGGCAGGAAAGCCTGCCTGGAGACCATCTTCCAGTCAGGAAAAGGCTTCCCGATCTTGCTTTCCTTCCTGCCTGAGACCCTCTGTGAGGAGATGCTGAGGCTGGGGAAGCTGGCTATGACAAAACATAACACCTGGCAAGATGCTGAGCGGAAGAGCTCAGCAGGGAAGGCAGACCCTGCCCTAGTGCGGCAGCACCTCTGCACTGTGATAATATAGTGCTGCTACCACAAGGCATCCAGTGTTTGCAGCCTACGGCCTGGACTAAAATGCAGATGTTAGCATTCAGTTTTATGCATAAAGGTATGCAAAAAGTGGCATGTATGTGCCTTCCAATGGATTCCAAACTCTAAGGGCAAGGAATATCTTTTAAGCATTCCTGACAGATTCATAGCTTTTCTGATTAATGAATGAAAGGCTTAGAACTTGGACAGCTTATTTTATATCCTTGAGCAATGAATGCCAGGGATCATAATAAAAGGCTACTCTGTTTAGCACATAAAGGCTTTTGTGAGACTAAGTGACAGCAGAGGTCGAAGCTTCCAAAAATGGTAGTTCCCTATAACCAGCTAGTTCCGAGCTCTGTGAGCTTACAAGGCAGCGCAGGACAAAGGCCCTGTGTGAACTGGCCTCTGCCTTCCTCCTGTTTGCTTGCTGTTTCCAACTGGGAGTCTTGGGCTCAGTAGCCCTCCTTTCCTTAGGGCTGCAGTACACCCTCCCCTTTCCATCATGCTTGGCCCAGCTGCTAACCCTTCAGGGTTCAGCTTGGCTCATCTGTTTCCAGGAAGGCTACCTGGGGACAAGCTGGGTCTTATACAACCCCACAGAACCCATAGTTGTCCTTCATAGTTTCTGTTTCAATATTAACTTAAATAATTACTCTACTTAATCAGTGTGTCTTCCGAATGGCAAGCTTTTGGGGAGCTGTTTAGCACTTGTATCAATTGTTGAGAGAGAGTCTCATCTAGCTTAGGCAGGCCCTGAACTCCATATGCAGCAGAGGATAACCTCGAACTCCTATTCCTCCTGCCTCTCTCTCTCAAGTCTAGGTCTGTAGCTATGCACCTGGCTAAGCAAGTCTTTTTTAATGAGTCAGAATCAGGGAAGACTTCACAGAGAACTGTGGGCCCCGGGATGAGTTAGTCTGTGCACCGATGGAGCACAGGGCAGTGGAGAAAAGGATAGCATTTCCCACTGGAGGAAGCGGCTGCCACAGCAAGCATGGACTATTCTGGAAAGGTAGTAAAGGGCCAGCCACACATATCTAAGAGCCACAGCATGTGACGTCAGGCAGTACAGAATCACTGCATCTCTGAGAAGGACGAGTACTCCCACTATGGCGCTCTGATCGTTTTCAAATGTGCTACTGGATTACTGTTAACTCTGTAGTCTCCATGACAGGGGCTTCTGCAGCTCTGTGGCTCTCCTGCCAGCACTCTAATCAACAGTACATCACCTCTCCGTCCTTGCCACCAGGATGCAGTTCTGCTGCGGCCAAACTGGCGATGGCATCCATGGCAGGCTGAACGTCTCCAATAGCAGATCCCAGGATGTCAGATACCAACACACATGCAGACTTGTCCAGCACTACCTCTTGAGCATGTCCTTGCAGGTGGTTTAGCAAAGCTGGAGAGATGGATTCCAAGAGCTCACGCCGGCGGATGGCCGTGTCTTTCTTACTGTAGGAATATGTTGAATGAGGTGGTAAGATAAATAGCAGATCTTGTTATTACAAACTTCTAGGAGCTTATCACAACCCGGGGCACACTCTATTGTAATTGTCTGTCCTTCTGCTGAGGATGCAGACAGTGAGTAAGTGAAAGTTACAGGCTGGGCTTCATCTTTCCATTCTCAAGTTCTTAACACTACCTGGCGAGGAACAAGACTTCAACAAAGGAAGCCGCTTTCTACACTACAGACACACAAGTAACCCTCCCAAATCCAGGCGATCTTAAACCAAATAATGACAAATTATCATGCAAGACAGGACGTGTTCAGAGTACTTCACAAACTCTGTTCTCGGGACATTAAAATATATGACATCAGGAGCTCTGAAAGTAAAGCATACCAAAAATCAAACTATACTTGAAGGCCTACTGTGTGCCAAGTAGATGCTTCATTCAGCCTGGTACTGCCATTTCCTTTCAAGGACAGTCTCGAGACTATCAAAACCTCAGGTTTAACAATGGAATTCACCAATGAGGATTTATTAGAACACGCACTCCTCACAAAGAATCAAGCATACTGGGAGAGGACCAAAGGCACCAAGCCATCAGCTGGCAGTTACCTGTGTGCATTGCCATCACCCTTCTGCAGGAGCTCGATGATTTCTCGTACGGTGTGGGCAGGATCTCTGGGACTCAGCAAGTACAATAGGACTTTCCTCCCATATTTGTCATTCACTATGCTGGGTAAGGAACTGATGATTTCCTATATAATTAAAAAACAAAAACAAAACCCTTGCAGTGTTATTTACATTCTCAAAGTTCAGCTGGGATTTGATGGGAATGAGGAACACACCCTTGGCTATTTCCCTCAGTGCACTCACTAGCAAATGTGAAGTTAATTCTGACATGTCTTATCAAAACACAAAGAATTATAATCAGAACAGTTAATTATCTACTGTGGCCATCACTGTTGAACAACCTGTTTGTATTAACTGATCAAACCTAAGGACTTTTAAAAAGTTAGAGTTATCTCCATTCATTATGAGGAGTATTATGGGCTGCTATTACTAAGGACAGCACCTGCTGTGATCTGAGTAGACAAGAGTCAATTTGCAGGAGCACTTAATGTAGCATGAGCCTTGATGAAGCACATGCCTCAGAACTTCCCTGCTGAGGCATGGGAGAGGAAGCTGCCCTGTAAACCACAAAGTTAACACAGGCTTAGCTAGGCTGCTTATTATAGCAAACGAAGGCTGTTTACCACAGTGAGAAACACCAACAGGTTACCTGGAGCCACAGAGAGAACTCATTCACTAGCTAAGTTTACAGGTCAGGACCAGAAGCAGGGATCTGACTAGTCCTGATCCCTACTCCAAATCTGTCATATCCCTCCTCTAAAAGGAAGAAATCCTCTTACGATGACATATACTCAGAATTGTTATTTTTTTTTAACAATTAAACAAAATTTTTATTGTGTGTATGAGTGTTTTGTCTATAAGCATGTCTGTGCACAACACGCATGCAGTACCCGCAGAGAATTCTGAGCTGCTATGTGAGTTCTGGGTATTAAACCTGGGTCTTCTGGGAAAGCAGAAAGTGCTCTTAACCATGCTCCAGCCCCAGTCTGCCCTTAAAAAACAAACCAAAAAGACAAAAAACACCAACAACTATTTATTACTAAATTAGTGATTTTAGTAGTACAAAGGACTAAACTAAAAACCATCAACCATAGGCTCAAAATACAGCAAAACTCAGCATCTCATGTTTGTTGATGATAAAATCCCAGGCTCCCCTCAACTTCTGCACTAATCTATGTTCTTCTGATGCCTAATGACAGTAATGACACTGGCTACATGTTGAAATGGAACCAGACACTGCAGAGTGCTGAATGATCCTTCTCGCAACCAGGTTCCAGAACTACAGCTGGATCCTCATCCAGCTCTCTGAATTACCTCTGAAGAAGTCAAAGGTCACAGCATGATTTCCACACAAAACACGAAGGCTTTCAGAAATAAGTCTAACAATCTAAAAATGAATCTACAATTTCAATCACACCAGGAAAAAATATACAGAATTCGCTACAAGGTGTGGAGTTCTTTTCATTATCTCAAAGTAGCATTATTATCCATGCTTTTGGTAATGAGATGTTTAATGCATCCAACACAGGGAACCTTTAGCATGCCCTCGGTGCACTTGAACTGACATCTTTTTCAGAGCATAATGAGGAAAGGCGGGAGCCACCAAATCTGTGGACTCCACTGACACCCCCCACAAGGACTACTTTCATGGCGCAGCCAGTATGCACAACATCTATGCATAGACACATTCAGTTCACTTGCTCTGACTAAGCAGGGGGAACCCTTGCCCAGGCCCCTTGGCATTCTTAAGAGAGCTAGTCGTTCAAAACAAAAGTACACACAGGGAATGGAGTTGGGGGTACACATTTTCCATAAGGACAGAACTAAACCAAGCAACAGAAACTTGAGACTTGAGCCTGTAGTAAGCACACTGCTATAATAGGTCATATGTGGGAAGGAAAAACAAATAGGAACTACTTTAGCCACAGGGAGCTAAAGTCTAGCAGAACAGGCAAGAGAATGAATAGAAAGTTAAAAATAAATAGGAGAGACCTAAATGATAGACAGCAACAGAGGAGCCGAGGGAGGTCAAATGACCAGGAAGCCTGAGCACTTCAAAGACAAGGCTTTATCCCCTAGTCTACCTTCTGGCTGCACTAGGGCATGATGCAGTCTCTCCATTCTCGACCCCCTCCCTCTTTATTGAGTACCTCACTCATGTAAGCATCCGGTCAATGGGCATTTCTGAGTTTGTAAGTCCTGTCAGACCATAGTTAACGGCTAAAAATGAATGAAAACTAACCTAAGGAAATGTCAAGTGAGAGGCAGAGATGTGGCTGAGAGATCAGAGCAGGAGCCTGGGATTTTATTTATTTATTTAGAGTGATGATCAGCCTATGATTTCAACCTGACATTTTGGTAAAACCAATTACTCTGAAGGAAACTCTTAGCAACACTGGGTTCTCTTAGTGTCTGGGTGGGAAACACAGTCACAGGACTCTACTGGTTAGTTTTAACTGTCAGTCTGGTACAACCTAGAATATCCTGGGAAGAGTCTCACTGAGGAATCAAGATCAGGCTGACCTCTGGACATGACTGTGGTCGAACTGTCTTGCCTGGTAATTGATGTAGGAAGACCCAGTCTATTGTGAGAAGCTCCATTCCCTAGGCAGGGGGTATTGACCAGTATAGGGAAAAAACTAGTTGACAAGCAAGAATCCAGGCATTTCTTCTGTCTGTTCGTGACATGTTCTGTGGATGTGATGCCCACTCTGACTTCTCCACAATACGGGTAAATTGTAAGCCAAGGTTGTTTGTAGTTTGTTTTTTTAAGTTTCACAGCTACAGAAATGAAACTAAGAGTCCACACATATGTGATTAAGAACTATATGGAATAGCAAAATCCAATAAAAAAGGAAGAATAACTTCTGGGGTTTTTCTGGGTTTTGTTGCTGTTTGTTTGCTTTTGGTTTGCAGTGGTAGGGATTGCAAGCCTCTCGTGTACTGCATAAGTGCTCTACCACTGAACTTCACGGCCACTCCTCCAAAAATAGTTTGGTTTTTGTTCTTAAAATAGGGTCTCGTGTATCCCAAGGCTGGCCTCAGTTGCTTTGTGGCCAAGGATGACCTTGAACTTCCTATTCTCCTGCCTTCACCCTCCAAGTTCTGGAATTACTAAAACATATACCACATACCTGGTTTATGTGGTGCTGGGTATGGAGCCCATGACTTCATGGATACGAGACAAGCACTCTACCAAATGAACTACATACATGAGATCCAAAAAACAGTTTTTAAGAGTATAAAAAACACTAACCACCACCATGAAAATAAAAACTATAAACTTCAGTATAGTCACTAGTGGACTATTTCTACTTGTCATTGAAAAATAAACGAAATACTTAAAAGTGAAAAAATTATGGTCCATAGGTCAAGTCCTGTCTGTGCCCACTTTCTATACACTCATCAAGCTAAGAATGTTTTTCTTTTCCTTTTTTTTTAATTGCAAAACATTCTTTAAAAGTATAAACAAGACAAACCATATATGGCCTATAAGGCCTCAAATAATTACTATCTAGCCCTTTACAAAAAAAAAAAAAAAAAAAAGATAGGATCTTACTATCCAGCCCAGGCTGGACTCCAAATTCATGGCAATCCTCCAGGCTTGTTGGCTCTCAAGTGATGGGATTGTAAGCGTGAGCCACCATGATTAGCCAGGTTTTACTTATTTGTATCACATGATGGAAGGCTAAGTAGTCGGTATATTATTCTTTGTAACTTTGTAATTATTTATTAAAGATGAGGCATTTAAAATATGCATCAATACTGCTTCATTCCCAGACAGCCCCTGGCTAGGCTATCCATCCCTTTCCTTAGGAACACTTCTATGAAACCAGCCAAAGCAGACCAGAATAAATGGGATCACATTTTATTTGGAGGTATGTTCACTTTGGAAAGGAAAGCAGATGGGAGACAGCTTGCATTTATTTTGTAAGGTCAAAGAAAGGTATAGCTGACCAGGTTGAGATTCCAACTTGACATTCTGGGAAGTACGGATACCCTGAATGGAGTGTTTGGCAATGCTCAACTTTCTGGGTATTTTTAAAAAGCACTGCAACAGATTCTGTGGTGGCTGGGTGGGAAAAATGCAAGAGTGATGACCATATCACAACTTTATCACTAACTTCGGGACTTAATGATCCACAGAACCGGCGGAGCATTTGTCAGTGAGAGGCATGTCCGTGAGAGCTGCCTCAAGTTAGTCTTTAGGAATGTGGGTTCCACAGCTGTGGACCGCAGACAGATAAGCACAAGAAATGAAAACGCCTTCAACAGCAACTTGAAGTGAGATAAGTCGTTGGAGAAGACTAACCCAGCAGAGAATTCTGGCAAGTCCTGAAGGGCGCTTGTTTCCCTTGAAATCCATTTGGAACAGTTATGCACATTTTCGTTTTTTGTGAAATAGTACACAAAAGCAAACTTTCAATGGGCCAGTCAGTTTCCATTTCTGTGAAACAGCTTTATTCAGAGCCAATTCTACGGCCTCACATCTCTGTCACAGGAATGAAAAACAATGACTATTGACTGGAGTCAAGAGGGTACGAAAGTCACAAGAAACATGTCAAAATATTCAGTCTGTGACACAAAATCTTGCCAACTCGCTCCTTCCCACAATCCTACTCCCCCAAAAGTCATCCCAACTTTAAAATAATCAAGAACAAAGTTGGAAAGTGGCAGCAGGGGCATGAGAAACCCACAGCTGGGATCTACAGCTGCCATCTAGGAAAGCAGATCTCCCCTCTCCCTCCCTACTATTAGGGATAAACTGGAAACACCCAGCTACCCTCACCCTGCTGGACTAGAGAGGCCACAGCACCCCCACCTGACCACAGGCTTTTCTCTGCAGACATTGTAAGAGTCTCATTCATCACTAAGATTTCTCCAAGACTCCATTCGTGTGCAAACAGGTGAACAAGCTGCGTTTGCAAAAACTAAGCCCTTTTCAAAACATTTCCAATTTGGGTCACTGCTACCAAGACTGCAATTTCTCTTCCCTAGTTTGGCAATCTCTACCTTCTCCAGTCAATACTTGTGCATACTACATAAGGAAAATAGGCTCACAAAGTAAGATGAGAAAAGGATGGTCCCAGAGGATGGCGGGAGACACACAATTCTGAACACCATGTCTACTTTGGGTTAGCTTTTCCAAGAGTTCTGAAAGTCAAATGCAGGGATAAAGACATTTACTCAAGGATTATCACCTTATGGTCATTGGATTAGACCAGAGTAATTGCTAAGACACAAGTAGGAGGTTAGGAAACCTGATTTTAACAAAACCTTTTGTTAAGGGTGTTACAAGCACAGCTGAATGGGTTTTTTTTTTTTTTTTTTTTTTTTTGGTTTTTCGAGACAGGGTTTCTTTGGAGACCAGGCTGGCCTCGAACTCACAGAGATCCGCCTGGCTCTGCCTCCCGAGTGCTGGGATTAAAGGCGTGCGCCACCACCGCCCGGCTAGCTGAATGGGTTTTAAGTATTCTCTTCTCCAGCAGCTTAGCCCTGCATATAGGGACAGATGAACAGGACACAACTGTGCAGAGGCTGCTTGTCCACAACAAGTGTGTTAAACTGAAGAATCACTAAATAAGGCAATTACTAATCACATCCAAGCACTGCTTTGCTTAAAAAAAAAAAAAAAAATTCCATGCAACCTTAATCCAAAGTAGAAATGTCAAGTCTTATTTTTACCATGGTCATTTAGGTGTTTAAAACAATTACTATCCAGTTACAAGATTGGAATTCATATAGGAACAGAACAAGCCTCTAAAATAAGACATACTAAAGTCAGAAAATGTGAACTAAAAGCACAAGTCAAAGTGTTCATATAACATGTGAAACTGAACTCCAACACTGGCCACTGGCCGGCGTAACCAATTCAAGCCCATCCAAATTACTTACTGATATGATTATCTGCTTCACAAGCTTAGTGTCATCAATACAGTCAAACGCTGCCAGCAAAACCAAGTGAGAGTACTGGCCCTGTAAGAACGGGGAGACAGAAAAGGTTAAATTGGCTCTTGTGAGTAAAGGCTGCCAAGCCTGAAGACCGCAGTTCAATTCCCAGAACCCAAATGGTAGAAGAGGACAACAGACTTTCCTCTGACGTCCACACATGTGCATACCACCTATCCCCTACACATAAACTACATAAGTTAATGTAATAAAAATTAGTAAGACAAAATAACGGCAAACCTAGAAAGCTGGGCGTGGTAGCACACACTTTTAATCCCAACATCTGAGGGGCAGCCAGAGCTCCGTGAGTTTGAGGCCAGCCTGGTCTACATTATCATGACATAGTGAGACCTTGTCTCAAAAAAAGAAAAAAACCAAAGAAACAAAAAACTTTCCCTGTTACACACCCTTCCCATAGCCTACACAATAATCTGTCCAACCTTACACAAACAAGGTGAATCAGTCACTCAAAGGAACTAGCTAATCATATTTGAGATAAGGTTGACTGAACAGAAACAGAAACATATTCGTCAAATAGCCCAGGAATCAGGATGCAACATATAAGCAAACACCCAGTTAATGAATGGCAACTTGAAAATTTTAAATGAGACAATGAAATGAAAGATTAATTGGGGGAGGAGGGGACGTGCATACAACTACATACAGAAACTATTCAAATCACCAAAAAAGAAACGGATAATCTTAGGCACGATTTATATATATACATTATAAAATATACACATACCTTCATAAAATTATGACATATATATATATACATACATAAATTATCTGTACATACACAGAAAATTTTAGAAGGCAAAACACCCGAGTCAAAGGACTACAAATTATTTTTATTGTACTTTGTCCAATTGCATTTATTGTACATTGTTGAATTTCTTTGAAAATAGCTATAGATATTTAAACAAATACTGAAAACAAAACCCCGAACCATATACAAAAGCTGGACAAGAGCTAGGCTCAGTGGTGCATCCCTATAATTTATAATACATCTAAGTATTTAATAGAGGGAGACCAGAAGACTGCTATAAGTTTGAGAACATCCCAGTCTACACAGTTGATTGAGTTCCAGAGGCTACATGGTGGATTTCTCCTTAAACAAACAGCAAAAATCTACAAGCTCCAAAACAAAGAAACAAACAAAAAAGAAGCTCCCCTAAACCCACACACAGCAATAAAAAGAAAAGCACGCAAACTATATAAAATATTCTGACCCCAAGAACTAGACAAAAACCACTGTGCCTACAATCACCTCTTGGAATTCAACTTTTGGGGAAAGCAGGCATCTTCATGCTGGTTAGAACGTAAAGTGGTTTGCTTCTTTGGAAGGCAATTGGCAACATTAAAACAACATGCATGTATGTTCTCACCTAGCAATTTTAGCTCTGGGGATTTATCCTAGACATGCTTCCACATATGTACAGACACATATAAAATGTTTACTGGAGTGCTGATAATTTAAGGAATCTAGACAATTCAAGATCCAACAGAAAAAGACTGGCTAAGTGAATCATGGTACAGCCATGCAAGGGAATACTGTAAAGTCACTACAAGTGAGGCAAGCAGACGTACATGTATTGAAATAAACTGGCTCCCGAGATGAGGAAATTGGTAAAGGACAGTGAAAACTACCGTCAGGGAGGCAGAGCACAACTAACTGCAAGGTATTTCCGTGTGAATAGAGACGCTGGCCCACAACTCCATTTCAAATGTAGACACAGTAGCACCATCTTTGAAAGGCACAATCACACCGAACAAAGAGATGATCATTTCTGCTCAAGTTCGACAATCATTCCATATTAATTACACAAGAGAGCAACAGGCAATTCCGCAATCACATCTAGACACTGAACATGCTTCTCTCAGCAGCTGGGACCGAGAAACCAGGAAACCAGCGGACTCGCTGACGGCCTAACTCCACCTTGATCTAACCGACATTTACAGACTACCATAAATACTCCACAGTGATTCCGTTCAAGATACCAAGACAGACCTAATGCGAGGCCTGAAAGGAAGTCTCAATAAAATTTAAAGACCGGAATAATAAAAATCTAAAAACCTCAAAACTGAACAATAACATTTGTGATTCTAAATAATTTACAGTTCAAATCTACTGGGTTATGTTTACCTCCTCCCTCAGAAGTAATTCTTAAATTAAAAAGAAGCCGGACGGCCAGGTTCTGTGACCACTACTATGCCAAACTAGGAAAGGGTCTCAAAAATGAATTGGCCAATTACCTCATGTAACCAAAATCTAAAATTAAAAAGTCTAATTTTATTATTTAGAAAATGCCTTACTAATACAGTTTAGACAGAACTTTCTATTAACATCCTGTTTTTACTCAATTTTAATGTAAGTACTTCAATTAAATGTCACACAAAATTTACTCAGTTGCAAACTGTGAATAAAATATTCTTGTACATCTCAAGCTGGAAAAAGAATACCACATTTCACCTTACAGAAAAGACAGCTGCTTACCAATGCACACTAACGCCCGTCACTCCCAATGCCACAGAATACTAACTGTATCACACAGCATCTATGCTACCTTGGTCTGAACAGCACTTGCTGAACTAAGAATTTGACTAATTCAGTTGTTCTCATTGGATTTTTTTTTTTAAAAAACAGGAAAAGGCTGAACATAGAGTAATTGCCACTCACCAGTAACTGATAAAGTTACTCAACTATATAATTAAAACCACATTTACTACTACATGTAACCTAGTTTTAGCATTACTTTGTATTGCTGGTATGGAAAAACCATCCCACATTTAAATACACAAAAACTTGTATTAATTTTATTATTGTGTGGATGGCAATGCACGGGTGTGTGGGTAAGATTGCTTGTGCATGCATGTGTGGAGGCCAGAGCTCAATTTTAAGTACTTGATCCACTGAGGGGCTCCCCCAGCTAGAAACAATCCCCAGTAAAACAAACAAAAAAACCCACAAAAACCACTGCCACCACCACTAAACGTTTGTATCTAACACTAATCCTCCAATAGATTCCAAGGAGCTAAAATATTTAATACCTTAATTTTTTCATGACCACAGTATAAATTTATACCAAGAAAACAGACAAATTTTAACTCTTTACAGTTTTGGTGGTAGCAAAAACCAGTATTAAGTTTCTGAACTACAATGTGACATTGTTTACTTAGGTATATATATGGCTTAAACCGGCAGCAGAAGTCCCATGTGTAGTCACCGAGGCTGGAGACAGGTATAAAGCAGGTATAAAGATCAGTCTTTACACACCACAACCAAACAGGGCCTGGGGTGGAGTGCACAGGCCTGGAATATAGGAATTCCCTTCTTCGATCTCTAGCAAGACACACATACATACAAACAATTCATGTGCAGAGAGAACCATAGTATGAACCCTATGTTGTGCAAAGTAACCTAGAAAACGGACAGAAGAAGATATAACAAACAAATTGAAGCAGTTATCTGATTTCTCCGCTAGACATGAACTCACTTCACTGTTAGTGACTTTACAAACATGCTTTTGTTGTACTCACATTGGCCACCTTTTCAACGTATGTCTTCATTGTTTTCACGATCACTTTCCTGTCCTTAAAAGGAAAAACTGATTCAATGAACTTTTATTTATTTATAGATGAAGCTTAGCGCACAGTTAATACTTATGCAGTGTTACATTTTCATCAGCATCGTCTCTTTGTTAGTGAAAAGACCAGATTGACGCAGAATGAAAAACAGTGCAGCGTGAGCCAAAACACTCCACAAGGAGCTATACAATCTCCAGCTTATGTCATCCCATTTAGGCACAAATATGGACCCACGGAAGTCTAAGGCACAGGCAAACCTAGTGAGATCACCTGTACAGCCATCCCTCTCCCAATGTCTGATATGCCTTCAAGAGTCTAACACACAGATGTGCTTAATATGTTTGCGCAGTAGTTAAATTTGCAATAAGTAAAAGGCAGATAAAACACAACGAACATTTAAAGGATGAAATATGTAAAATTCTATGATCGTGATCAATGTTCACCTTTTCCCACAGAGTACTTAATACACAGGGAACACATGTATGGTGTAGTTAACGAATTATCTCTGCCTTCCTCCCATTCTCAATATGACCATTAAATGAAGAATAAAAGAACAGAGCATGGGTCCCCAAACCTCCGTAAGCTCAGGCTGAGCATGAACGTGTCACCTGCTTGGAGGTTTCTTCCTAACCTTCAGTGACGCCTTGGGTCTCTGCTGAAGCAGAGAAGGCGCCAAAGCCCCGGGAGGCCCTAGGACACAACTTCCAGAAGATGACACTTCTGTACAACTGGGATCCAAAGACTAAAGGCTCAAAGATGAAGGCTCATCAAGTCAGACTGCGGGGAGGCACGGCGCTGACACTTACCTTGGGGGTACCATGCCACAAGCAGTGCATGGCCACTCTGGCGCCATCGTGTGTGTGGGCCAGGTATACCACTGCTTCCCGGATGGCTTCGATTAATTCCTAGAGACCAGAAGGCAGAGAATGAAAAGGCGGGAGCTCAGGCAGCAGACACCTCAGGCTGGAATTCTACAGCCGGCCTCTTTCTAGACAAATTCTTTCCAACAAAGCAGCGAATACAGCTCAGAGCAATTTCTAATAAACAACAGAACCAATTTCCCACTATATCTATTTTTATAAAGTAGTCACAGGTGATGTGTGATATATTCTAATGAATACAGAAAGAGCAGCCAGGGGTAGCGGCTCTAAGGGGGTGTTTAACAGAACAGATGGGAAAAGATCATACTCCCCAACATGTGAATATAACAAACACAATCAAAACTCATCCTGACTGAAGTGCCTGTGGTTTAGTTTACCATAGGACTGGATGATCTCTACAGGTCATATGAATTGTGTACCAAAACACTTAAATAGTGTTTCTCAATGAAATCTCTGTGCTAACATTTAGGATAGGCCTTTACTTACAGATAACCTTTTTGTAAAAATTGAAAGGGGAAAAAATCATTTAATTTATTTTCAAAATCTGAACAGCCAGGATATAAATGCATTCTGGAACCCAATAGCTACAGGGGTCCCGAATGAATTTCTACATTCGGGGACCACATTTCCGGACTACAGTCTGGAAAGAAAAGGGCTGTACTTCACCCTAAGGTACCATCCTCTCCAGGGATGAATCTCAAGAGTAGATTTCAGGTCACAGAGCTGAACTTTAGAATTTCTCCAAAAGTGCTCCACCATAAACGGGACACTTACATCATAGCTTTTCCCCTCAAAGCTTATGGGGATATTGTGGCAGAGGGGATGGAAAGATTCCAGGAGACACAGGGCAAAACAGACTTCTGGACAGGACAGGACCACTGTATCCATGAACCCACAGCAGCAGCTGCTGTCAGGAACATTAAAGCCCCGACCCTGAGCTAAAGAGCTACCCACAGTTGATGGCTTATAGGGGAGGGAGCCAATCTTTAATAGTACGGCCAGTAGACGGTCCCTCAACTATGACTATATGGGGAGCACAAATTGAACTGTGGGTTATCAAAAAAAAGATGGCATGGGATTGGGGGAGTGTGAGTGGATCTGGGAAGAATTAGAATATGACCAAAATATATACATGTATGAAATTCTCAAAGAATTAATAAAAAGATATTGGGCGGGAGGGTAACACAGGTTCCAATTGTGCTTCCAAGATCTCCAGAGGTCTTGTCACTTTATGCCCACTCCAGACGTTTGCTGTTTTCTACTGTCACCAAAACACTCTTGGCACAAAAACTTCAAAATACTGAGTTCTGTAGGGAAGAGGGAAATTCCTAAGAGAGCAAGTGCTGTTCTTCTGGCCACAAGGTTGGGGGGATGGTAGGGAGGGGCTGCAGAGACATTATTCTCCATGCTAACTGGCGGGCTTCAAAATTCCCAGGAGTGTGCAATAGGCATGTATGTTAAGAGAAATCAGGTTAGTCAGCCCTTGCAATTAGAAAATGAGAACCAATGGACAACAGGTCACGGCTGGATGAAGCACGCACAGCTCGGGGAATGAAGGCATCCATCTCATTTGTATTCCCACCGCTGACTTGAAGGACAGTGCAGTTACCTTCACTGGTCCTCTGCCTTCCATTGCATAAGGTCCAGGCTTTCACAGGCCATTTAGTTTCACATTAAGTATCCTCCCTTAACCTTTTAAAGCAGGTATGGTTTATTTATTTATTTACTTTTTTTATTTAAAACTACTGGAACACCGAGGTATCCTCCAATGTAAGTTACCTTTCAGATCAGATTAGCTAGAGGACACTCTCTAGATTGTAACTAAAATATAAAATTCAGTATCATAAATCAAACTAGGGTCAATTCTATTCTTTTCTGGGGTGGGGGCTAGAGCAGAATTTTTAAAGAGATTTAGCAGATCTGTTCAGTGCCTGTTCCATGGTTATTTAAGGGAGAAAGGAACCCTGGCGTTTCTAAAGGACTGTGTACATCAGAGCAGCCCCACAAAGTCCTACAGGACTTTCCTTTCCCATTTTCAGTCTGTTTCATTTTGTGAGACGCAGTGTCACACCACAGTCCAGGCTGGCTTGGAGCTCACTTTGGAGGCCAAGCTAACCTCAAACTCATGGTTATCCTCCTGTCTCAGGCCCCCAAGTGCCAAATCTCAAACGTGTGTGCCACCACACTGGCTTTACACTGATTCAAAGACAGAAACTAAGGACTTACTGATCGAAGTTTTGGGGGTGCATAGGTAAAAAAGTCCAAGAATACTTTATGAACCAGCGAGTGCTTAATCACAGCTTCCCTGCAAACGGAAGGGAAGAGAATCAGATCAGATTTATCGAAACAGCAACACAAAGACAGGCAACCCTATTGGTCCTAAATCATCTAAGTGAAATGGTTTTCACTAAACACAGTGTGTCATAAATCAATTGTATCTTTCAGCAATACTAAAATGTTAAAAATTTTAGACTGTAACACTGGTTTAGTGTCATCACAACCGAGAGCAGGATACACATTCCCAGGCTCTATAGCAAGATGATGCACAAGGAGAGCTGTAGTGTTTCCCCCGACCCTGAGCACTGGACACCTCATTAAAAATTCACATGCAGACCCGATTCCTAATGGTTATTTTCTATCAAGCATTCTTCAAAATGTCTCAGTATCGTAAAGTAATTTTAGCAGCATTACATTTGAATGGCCCACAGCAGTGCCACCGGTAGCGACAACCCCTACTTGTCTATGCCCCCAATACGATGTGTGGAGAATTCAGCAGCGCAGTGCTGGCCGATGTTCAAGATCAAGAACCTAGAAGTTGACATAGAATATGCAAACCCACCACAGACACAAATGCCTCGATGCACAAAGCACTCTTCTAAGGGCTCTGCAAATATTTTAATCCATTTATCTTCATAAAACCCCACAAAGGATGTGTTATCACTTCAGTACCACAGGTCTGGAAACCAGGCCCAGAGAGGTGAAGCTGTCCACGCTTACACAGGATTAGGGGGTGAGAGGACATGACATCAGGGGTCACACCCACCCTGCCTGGTAGCAGCAGCTTTGCTCCCAACCATTCTGTCAGGTATCAAAGACATGAAGGCAACAAGCACAAACTTCTAAGTCTACAGTACAGTTTAAACAACCAACTCTATAAACTTCAATACACCGAGGTTCGGTGTAACACTTTACTTTGAAAAAAAAAAGAAAAAAAGGTTTTTATCACTTTAAGAATGTTTATAAACCACTATGACAAGTAAGCCAATAAGATACCATGTCAAGAAGAGCCATGTCTATCTGCATCAAGAATAGTTTCAAACAAAATGTTTTATACTCTTATTTACGATAGATTATTAACAACAGGGAGGACAATGCCTCCTTTCTGGCAAGGATTATGTAAAATGTGGCTCCTGCAAATACCTCTTTCAATATGTAAATAAAAACCCTTTCTTACTTCTGGGCCATCGGAGTCAGAATCTGCTTCATTTCATCCATAATAAGCTCTAGTTTTCCTGGTTGCACCTCCAGCACTTTGTCCAGAGTGGGGTGATCTGCAGACTGAAACAGAGGAAAAATCAAATGCTTCACTTCAGAACAAGCAAGAACTACAACCATGTTAAACAAGTTTAAAGTAAGTTTGAGATGTTTCACATTTCTAGAACGAATGTCCATGAATAGTTCCTCATGATCTGATTCCCTGTCTATACATCTGCCAGTGTGTGAACATCCCTGTGGAGGATTGGCTCTAGCAACTCCCATGGATACAAAAACCTGTTGACACTTAAGACTCCCACATAAAACAACTAAGTATTTATATGTAATCCATACAATCCTTTGGGATATTTTAAACCATCTCATGCTACTTACATAACAACACATAAATGCTCTACAAATGGTTATTATACTATATTGTTCACAGAACAATAAGGAACAAAATCTACACATGTCCAGTACAGACATCCATTTTTCTTTTTTTTTCCTTTTGTTTTTTTTGATACAGGGTTTCTCTGTGTAGCCCTGGCTGTCCTGGAACTTGCTCTGTAGAGCAAGCTGGCCTCGAACTCAGTGATCCACTGAGTTCTTTCTTCTGCTTCCGGAGTGATGGGATTAAAGGTGTGGGCTATCACCACCCAGCAATTATTTTATCTTATTCATATTTTTTTTCTGAATAGTTTTGGTTTGCTGAGTTGTAAGATGTGGAAGTCATGGAAATGGGGAGCTGGCTCTACTTTTAAAGCCAGGCTAAGCACCAACCAAATCGCCAGCCATCAGGTCTTACCAAGCATTTAGCATGTGCCTACTCACAATCCTTGCCTTGGTGTGTTTTAGAATTGCTGGAGATTCCCAAGGTCAAGTGTCACAGTAGAAATGCTCCAGCAACTCAACTTAGGAACTGAAGCTAACGGAGGCAACCCCACAATCAATCCACATCCCTTCATATCACCTGTATATCCTGTCCTAAGGTTTGAAGTAGGCCCAAGAGCAGTACTAGTTCCTTCACTGGCTGGTCTCAGACTCAACTTCTATTTTCCACCCAATGCCAGGTCTCCAGAACCCTTCCTCTCCAGATCCAGACAAGGTAAGGCAAACCCGGGAAGAAACATGAGACAGAGTAACGAGAAGAAGGCCAGTACACCCCAGCCAGAGCTGGCTAGAGCAGGTCTAAAACTCTGCTCACTATTACAGTCTTTGATGTCACTCTGACTGCAGAAAGAGAAGTGCTGAAGCATCACACACACAGCAGCTGGAAGCAACAAACACGGAATGATCTGAAGGGGATTTAAAGGCAGCACTCTGGAGGAGGAAGCATGCAGTGACCACTTGCTCCTACTGCACAGACATATAATCGAAGAGAGTGGCTATGAGATGTCTCCTGAAGGACTAGCTTGGTAAAAACATCTTAAATACAGGACCCTGAAACTTAAAGACCACACAGAAAAATAAACACACAGGGAACGAACTTCCAGAAAGGCCACCTTGTAAAGCTGAAACGTGTTCCCATAGAGCTCCTCTGTCAGCATGTTCCTCTGTTCCAAAATGGCTTTGTCATTGTACGCATACTCCACGATGGCCGATGCCTCTGAGTGCCGCAGCATCTTCCTCACGTGACCTTTGAAGCTTCGGATGATCTCTGCTATCTGCGGTTTACTTCTACAGTCAAAAGGAACACAGAAAAACGACAGGAGGTGGATGGGTGGCAATAAACCCACAACTTACTTCTGCAAAGGCCAGCTCACCAATATTTGTGTTAGAGGGGAGTTCTCCTACACGGGAACACTTGTGAGTGGGCAAATCAAACGCCACGCACTTTCAATGCTTAGAAGACAAAGTAGGCTGCAATCCCTGGTGAGAAAAGATGGCTAACCAGCCGCTGACCAGCTCAAAGACCAACCAGGTTCTTCCTTAATTTATCGTTGGCAGTACTGGGATTGAACCTAGGACCTTATGCATGCAAGGCAAATGCTCTACCACTAAGCTACAGCCCAGTCCTATGGTCTTTAACTTCTCTGTGCCCAGTCTCTTCATTCACAAAATAGAAACAGCTGCTGTGAGAACTAGACGAACTGAGATGAGTCAAGAACAGTGAGCAGCACACAAAGTGCCTTCATTAGCTCCTCCAACCAGACCACAAGGAAAGTCAGAGAAGGACAGAGTCAAGGAGACAAATGGAAATAAAATAAAGATTTATTCTAAAGCATTTGAGCAGCTAATAATAGCCAGGACTGGTTAGGAAAAATGTTACCAATTGCATATCACTTATTTTTTTTGCTATCATATTCTGGTACATTCTCACACCCGAAAGGCTGGTGTGGATAAGTACCAACAGCACATCATTAGAAAAATCATCCCACCCTGACATGGACTAACACAATGACCTACTTCAGAGTCCTCAATTTCCTACCCTCTAAATACTAGCAACTGGAGTTAATTATTCCAATGTTTCGTTCTTTAACTTAAATATATAAAAATAAGTCCGTAACAATGGAGAAGGGAGCATCATGATTTCAGTCAATTTTAGTCATTGTTTTACGGTGTTGTACCTTAGGAAGACCACAAGTGTCTGGAGGCAATTACTAAAACCAGAGATGTTAAAGTAGCATTTGAGCAAAGATGAATCCATAAAACCAAAAGCCAAGGGGGGAAAATACACTTTATAACAACTTACCCATACATGAGAAATTTCTTGACAATATTCCTCGAATATTTGGCTTTACTTAGTTCAACCAGGTCACCTGGGAAAACAAAACATCCAATGACCTGACATCCTTACTTCAGTTCTCCAGAAACAGAGGGAAGAAAGAAACCCACACATGATTCTGGAACACAGCTCACTCTAGTCCCACGCAAAGAAACAGTAACAAAACAGTCTTACAGAAAACACAGAACTGCTCTCTAGGACATTCTTCAGCATTCCAAGAGAAAACAAGTGACTTTCTCACAAGCGATAAAAACATTGCACATTAGCCATACCTTGCAGTTCTTCAAAGGCCTGCCTCCTCTGCTCTTCATTCCCATACTGAATGAAGCACTGGATCACACGTGTTGAGTCATGGGCAAAGGCAATCTGCAGGAAAACAAAACGCCTGAACCACCAGGTTTCTACTAGTTACACAATTTGCACATTTTTCAGCTTCCAATGCACTAGCCTGCTGGAGACAGAAATATGTCAATCATGTGGTACACCATTGTTTGGCTTTGCTTCCTATCACGTTTCATAGCTGAAATAAATGCAAGAGACAGGAAAGTCTACCACCTTTCAAATTCCATTCCTAATTAAAACTACCCCCACAAGCCAGGCAGTGGTGGCGCACGCCTTTAATCCCAGCACTTGGGAGGCAGAGCCAGGAGGATCTCTGTGAGTTCAAGGCCAGCCTGGTCTACAGAGTGAGATCTAGGACAGGCACCAAAACTACAGAGAAACCCTGTCTCGGAAAAAAAAAAACAAAAACAAAAAACCAAAAAATCAAAACCATAAAAAATAAAAAAATTGTATTTAAAACTATCTCCATAAGGATTACATGAACTGTGGTCCCATGTTCTCAAAAGTTAACAGGTACCGACACAGGATACCAATCCCGAAGTGTCGCTGCATTGATAACCATAACTACATACAAAGAACACACTTCCCTAAGAACAAAGAAACTCACATTTTTTTTTTTTAAATTGGAAGAGTGAGCACATTCTACTCACAGTTTTAATTTTCCCTTGAATCAACTTCTGCAAATCACTCATCAGCTTCACTCTTTTTTCTTTGTCGCAGTCTTTTCTGCAGAGGAAGCGCACATGAAGTTATTTTAGGCATGAAAACCAAACAGCATGCGATATATGTTTGCCACTTCAGTGTGGTTCTTCCTTTGAAGGCAGCAAACCTCTGACATTAAAATTATTATTCCGAAGCCGTCAGACAAAAGTCATTTTCTCAGAGGCAGAAACTCATCTCACAGGGTATAATTTTATGCATCAATCTAAATCTTAACAGCCAGAACTTCAGAAGCAAAGAAAAATAATAAAACAATCTAAGATAGCAAATACTTAAACATCTCAAAACCTAACTGATAAGAAATTGTCCTTCATTTTCTGAGAAATCTTTCAGGATAGGTATCAAATCCATTTGCCTCCCATCATTTCCATAAAGCTATCTGGCACTATTCTAATGATTTCACACATTTCTGTACTCGGCAGACACTCTGTTGCTGTGACAGGGGACTCTGAGCATGCATCAAAGAAACCAGGTGATGTCTTTGATGTTTAGGACATCTGTCTGTGCAGGGGAAACCTCTGTGGTGCCCTTGTCTTGGACAGACTAATAATGACAGTGTTAAGTGACAGTACCTCCGCAAGCTCTCCCAAATGTGTTTTGCCCGAACCACGATGTCATAGTTGGTCCTATCACTGAGCTGCCTGCTCTGCTTCAGCTCCTTCTTCTGCTTTTTGAAGTCATCCCATTTGGGTTTCTTGGCTGCTGATTCTAGAATTAAATTTAATGCATTTAACATTCCGAACACTGTACACAAATACGAATTTAGAACAGAGGGCAATCACCAGGACCAACGCTCATTCTAGAAGTTACAAGGGGAAAATATAAGCTGGCAGTGAAGCTCAGTGGTAGAGTACCTGCATATATGAGGGTCAATCCAAACATCAAAAATAAAACAAAATCCAAAGTAAAATGTCACTCTTCTGAGAGCTGTCAAGCATTATTTAATTCTTAGTGTGAGATGGGTATGACTTTGATCACCCCCTTTTGCTATGTACCACACATTAAGTCATTCATCCAAGGCCACCCGGTGGTAGAAACAAGATACAAATCCAGGGACAACTTATAGTTGCCTTCCACTCATGACAATATATAGCAAGCTTCTACAGATTGATCTATCTATTCCTGTACCTTTGAAATTAAGTTATGTGATCAATTAAACAACAAAACCAAACAATGTGATAAATGAAATGAATATTTTACTAGAGTATTATTTACATAAGTATCTCCTTCCAAATCCTTTGGAATTTAGTTATTTCTAAATCTCTCTCTCTCTGATTATAAAATTCACTCATTACAAGAACCAAAACAATAAAAAAGTCAACTGAGTCATACTAAAATCTAGGTATAAATACCAAATATCTCCTTCTTGCCCCCTTGCTTCTCTGTTTTGAGTCTCAGCATTTATATTTAACATCGTTAGAGTCTCTGCATTCTCCATTAAAACTACCATACAAGCAACAAGAGGGGGAAAAGCAACTACTGGAGCAAACACTGGGCGTGGGGAGAGGAAGAAAAAACCTAGAAACAGAAAAAAGACAAGCACCAGAGTGGGGAAAGGTCTTGCAGACACACTGAGAAATAATGGCATTCCCCACCCCCCCTGTTCTCCTCTCCCACCTCAAGCATGCTGTCCCTCCCCCAGAAAGCAACCCACAGGCAAACTGAAGAATAAGGACCAGGCTGGAGGGCTGGATAGAAAATGTGCACACAGTAGTCCCGGCGGCAGGCAGGGAACCACGTAAGAATACACTCCACGTTAGGGAAATAACCCAGAACTTCACAGTGGGGTAGGGGGGAATGTGGGGTCAGTATGGAGAAGCTGCTGCTTGAAGCCAGCAAGGGACAAGGCACCACGGTGCCACGCTGCACAACTGAGCAAATGCTGGTGAGAAGTGACTCCATGGATATCGTGATAAAGAGACTGGCAATTCATTTCAATGACAAACAGAAGCCCAAGGAACAATTCTCATCAGGGAGCAATTTGTCCTGAAGGAATTAAATGGCTAAATCTATCCAGAACTATTACTGAATGTGAACCATCTAACGAGTTGATCACATTAGCCTGGTCTAAGCCCCATGAGAGCAGAGTCTACAAATCTCTTAATTCTGCATGGTTGACATTTTAGCTGGAGCGCACTATGTCTTTAAGGCCAGCTTTTATGATTAGGTTGGCCCTGTACTGTTACTGATTTTAAAACTACCTATCTCCCAACACGATGAATAAAAAAGGTAGCTGGACATGACAGTGCATGCAGGTGGACCTGTGAATTCATGGTGAGTTTCAGGCCACCCAGTGCTACACAGCAAGACAATGTCTTAAAAAAGGTAAATATCTGATGAATGAGTGAACAAATAAATTCAGTTTGGACTTCAGAAAGGAATGTTTTGAGTTTCCTGCAAAAGACACAATTTAGCTTAATTCCTTGATTAAAGAAATAAAGATCTCTAAGCATGAGAAAGTTTAAAAACATTTTATTTTTAGATTCATTTTAAGAGTGTTTTGCTTGCATGCATGTGTGTGTACCACATGTAAGCTTGGAGCTGAGGAGGTCATAAGAGGACACTGAACACCCTGAACTGGAGTTACAGATGGTTGTGGGTACCATGTGGGCACTAGGAATCAAACTCGGGTCCTCTGCAAGAACGTGCTCTTAACTGCTGATCCATCTCACCAGCACCAGAACAAGAAATTCTGACTAGAAACACGCTGTTGTTTACTTAAACCCTCTGTGTTTCCTTCCTTCTACTCTGAAATGCTGCCCATCTAGGAGCAAGGACAGGCAGTCTCTGACACAGCGGAGGACCTGTGCACCATGGTCCAGTCCCACCTTGGCCCGGGAGGGCTTCTACAAAGGCTCTAAGAGCCATGCTTACCATCACTTTTACCATCTGGCTGGAATTTCCTCTTCTTGTTGAATTTATTTGGCTTCTGGAATTTGTCCTTCGGTCCTTTGCCCCCTGGTGGCTTGTTCTTGAACTGCTTCACACCCTTTTTGCCAGGTTTTGTGGCACCTTTCTGAAAGTTCTTAGATGCGACTCGAGGCCCACCTTCCTTAACAACTTTCCTTGGGAATGTTTTTGAAGAACTAGACTCTAGTGACAACAAAGAATACTTTTTAGTTCACTGACTCTGAGCCGAAATCTCTGTTATCTACTCAACCACAGGCTGCAGAGAACTACCCACTTTTCAGTGCAACCAACAGCCTTACTCGCAAATATACATTAACCCTTTGAATAAATTAGGATTTAAATAATCAAACCAAAGTTAAGAGAAAACTTTCTGATTATAAAATTGTATAGGTTAGCCATGTAAACCCTGGAAAGTTAGAGGAATTAATAATAAACTATAATTTACCTCTTAGAAACAACCACTATGCTAGCATGGCATATTTCTGCAGTTTTAAGCATATGCTAGACATAAAATGTTATGTACCTTTCCATTTTGTCTTATTGGCACTACCATCAATATTTATATTAAAATCTCAATGGTTCAATAAGGTAAGAGTTTAAGAGCAAAATGAACAGTTACTGAAGTTAAGAAAGCATATCATAAAAATGAATTAAAATGGATTTCTGAAAAAGTCTAATTGTGAGAAAAATCTTAAAGCCTACAATAAACCTTTTGGCTAAAATTTTTAGTCAAAAAGCTTATACATATCTAACAAATAGGATGACAATAATAATAGCTATGCCTTAAGACCATTACAAGGGAAAGCATAAGACTGCTTAGGACACAGTTATCTATATAGGTCTGGATTTTTCTACTCTGCAATACTGACACCTGATGGAATAATAGAGACATCACCATCTGAAATTCAGAAGGCAAAAGCTGAGTGTACTAGCCAGGTCCAACTCATCAAGCATTAAAATGAATTGTACAGTGACTGAATGTGAATACAATAAGGCCACATAAATTGCTGACATAAAGGATTTTTTTTTTTGGTTTTTCGAGACAGGTAGTTTTGCTGCCTGTCCTGGATCTCACTCTGTAGACCAAGCTAGCCTCGAACTCAGAGATCCGCCTGGCTCTGCCTCCAGAGTGCTGGGATTAAAGGTGTGCACCACCACCGCCTGGCAAAAGGATCTTTTATAAATAAAGCATTCCTCAATTATTCTGGCAATTCTTAAAAGCCGAAATTCCACGAGGAACAGGTTGGCTTGTGGACAGTGGTGACTTCTTTCCACCATGTTTACTGTAATCCTAGCCCATGAAGAGCGTGACACCCACTACAAACCTCGTCCCCTTCAGATATATCTTCAAAGTAACCAGCACATGGGAAGCGCACGTGGGCAAGGCTTTCTTACCACTGTTTTTATGAAATCTAGTCTTTCCTTGTGCTGTTTTTGGACTCTTTCCTGTGAATTTTTTCTTCTCTTTGACTTCCATCATAGCAATTCTGGAAAACAAAAGCCAAAAGCATGAAGACTCACCGAATTGCTATCCAGTAAGAGTCATTAAACAGTCAGTGCAACATACAGTCCTTGAGCTCAGATGCAGTATAAAGCATCCAGCCCGGGGGCTCTCAAGTCCACCAAGTACAGAACTACCTCTAAGACATTAAAACGGAGGGTGAAAAAGATACCAACACAAACAAGAACTCAGGACATGCGCACACCCGGAGGCAACACTCGAAGAACAGCACTGACTAAATATAGACCACTATTAAGAATAAACAGTGATGCTGGTATGGGGTGGTGGTGGTGGCACATGCTTTTAATCCCAGCACTCAGGAGGCAGAGCCAGGGGGATCTCTGAGTTCGAGGCCAGCCTGGTCTACAGAGCGAGATCCAGGACAGGCACCAAAACTACACAGAGAAGCCCTGTCTCAAAAAAAACCAAAAAACAAAACAAAACAAACAAACAAACAAAAAAACCCCAAAACAGTTATGAGTAACGGTGATGTTACCATTTGATTTCTTGGGTATCTACCTTAAAAAGCAATAGGACGCATTTAGCACATGTTACAATTTAAAGACAGAAAACCCCAAGAAGCTAAAATAAAGGTTATCGGCCAACTGTTTTAGAGACAGCCAGATGCCTTGCTGACCTCCAAGCCACAATGAACTATTTAATATTTAATTGAGAGGGATCCGCCTAGCATGTCACCTGTTGCATTCAGTGACCTTCACTGAGCACAGGCAAAGTAACAGATACTCCTCACCAACCTACCAGCTTTGCAAGAAGCAGAACACATACAGATACAAAGGCAAACTCTACTAAGCTCATGTCTACATTTCGAAAAGTTTCATGCTCATGCATTTCTAAATGACCTTAAGAGTCACTTGCAGGGATTCCTAGACAATGTTTCCAGATTAGAAACTTCTATTCATGAATTAATTTGCTGGATGTGTTGACACACACCTGTAATCCTAGATCTGAGAGAATGAGGCAGAAGGATCACTGTGAGTTCAAGGACACTCTGGCAACATAAACTGCAGGCCAGTCTGGGATACACAGTAAGATACTGTTTCAAAAATCAAAACAAAACTAAGCATGATTAATTCCTCAGGACACTGAAATGTCCTGGGAAGGAAAAAAAAAAAAAAGGCAGGATTCCAGGTTAATATGTATTTGAGAAACAGTAAATTACACAGCAATAGTCAGCAAGTAAGGGAAGATTTTCTAAGTCCTTAATTTGCTACTATGAACTACCCACTGGAAAACAAAGACTGAAATATACAACTTTCCAAATGTAGTTGACCACTTTCTCCAGGAAACACTGGAACATGGCCTGGGTTCAATGCCTAGAACTACATAAAAATATAGTGATATGTACCTGTAATTGCAACACTGAAACCACTCAGTTTCCTACTGGGCATTTTAAATTGCACAGTCATTTTATCACTTGGCAAGATATTGTCACACTTGCATGTCTGCATGTAGGTTTCATGAAAGTACCACACGCTAACCAATTGTGCCACTGGTCTTCATATATAGGTTTCTAACCATACCTTTATTTACATATTAAGTCTGCATATTTTATTTTAAAACAATGTGTTTTACAGAAGAGTTAAAAAGATATAGAGCCTATAGATCATTTACCCAGCTTCCCCATTGTTAACATATGACACTGTAATGAAACTAAGAAATTAACACTAGTATAACGGTATATTTTGATGTCAACTTTCCCATTCACGTCCTTTTTCCTATTCCAAGATACAGTTAATTTAGTCACAATGTCTCCTCTCTATTTTGCAGGTTATGTCCCCTTCGGGATTAAGATTTTCATCATTAGAGTAAGTTTATGCTTGGGCCGGTGTGTGTTAGCAAAGAAGTACTGTTCTCACAGCACCAAAGGATTGTAGCAGTCATGATTTGCTCCTGAAGTTAACCTTGATCACTTAAAGCAGTATTTGCCAAGTTTCTTCATTATCAAATTAATTTATGGCTAACCCAAATGCAAACACAAGCAAATTAGGTTTTACGTCCTAAACCTTCACAGCTGTGTACTTGACACTTTTTTTTTTTTCGAGACAGGGTTTCTCTGTGTAACTTTGCACCTTTCCTGGAACTCCGTAGACCAGACTGGCCTCGAACTCACAGAGATCTGTCTGGCTCTGCCTCCCAAGTGCTGGGATTAAAGGCATGCGCCACCACCGCCTGGCAACTCGACACTTTTGACTATGCATATAACTGGCACCTTCTGCTTAATGTCTGAAACTTAATTCTCTGCATTCCCACTGCAAACTACCCCAACGACAGCCCATCTTTCTCTCCCTGTCCGTTTTCACCGTAGCCAACAGGGTATCATCTACTTTACTGCTCAAAGAGAGAACCTGAGCATTGCATCTGATATTTACTTCTTTGTGTGTCAGTCATCTTGAACCTATCAGTAAGCTATCCTGCAATCCCCTTAAAAAAATACTTTGCCGGGCGGTGGTGGCGCACGCCTTTAATCCCAGCACTCGGGAGGCAGAGGCAGGCGGATCTCTGTGAGTTCGAGGCCAGCCTGGACTACCAAGTGAGTCCCAGGGAAGGCGCAAAGCTACACAGAGAAACCCTGTCTCGAAAAACCAAAAAAAAAAAAAAAAAAAAAAAAAAAAAAAAAAAAAAAAATACTTTATCTCCACTACCAATACTCAGTACAAACCCATCAAAATTCTCCTTACCGAACTTGCAAATTAAGCACACTTTTTTTCTTTAAGAGAATCAAGGCCTGTCACGAGCCGCCTCCCGCTTTTTTCTAACAACCCTTCAGCGTTTTACACGCATAGGAACACAAAGAACAATGCTTCCCGTTACACAAGAATACAAAAACTCGACACCATGGCCTCCAAACTCCTACCCTTCCCTTTTATCTTGTCTGCGGTACTCCTAACTCAGACCTCCGGGACTTATCCCAGAGCCCCTGCTTAAAATATTCCTGCCTCCCATCATGCTTTAGGTCTCGGTTTATGGATCACTTCTTCAGTTTTCCCTACAATGCTCCTAGGCACAAGGTCTGTCACAGGATGGGCAGGCTGACCGTGACCCGCACCGACAGGGGTTTGAAAGCGAAGCTAGTTCCCCTAGCTCTGCACTAAGGAACGTAACAGAGGGCTTCTTCACCCCTCTGCCCTCGCTAGGCTCCCGCCAATCCCCCAACTCCGAGCCATAAACGCGGCCGGGAAAGCGGCCCTGGTGGCCGATCTGAAGACGCCCGCTCGTCCACGGCCCCGAAAACTCTCCCTGCTCCGGAGCGGCCAGCGAAAGCCTGCCCTGCACCGCCTGCAACGCCCTCTCCGGAGCACTCACCGCACACGTGGGGCAGAAGATCGCAGAGTTCCGCCACCTTCCGCCGCTTCCGCTTCCGCATCTGGCCCCGCCCCAGTCCTCTGATTGTATTCTTCCGCCATGATGCTTGGGGTCAAGGGGTGGAGCTTAGGGGGGAACGCGAAGTCCATAGTTTCAATTGGTCCACCCTCGCCACACCTCCTATGTTGGACAGCGCGGCTTTTGGCCCTTGAAGGGATCCGTCCGGTGGAAGACGAGTCAGTGGCGCCGGAAAGTGACGTTGGAGCCGGCAGAGTCTGGGAAAGACGCAGGTTCTCGCGAGGACCGCCCCGTTAACCCTTCACTCTGTCTTCGGCGTTCGGATAGCTCGCTTGTTAGCGTGTGTACATTGTCGTCTCCAGTCTAGCCTGGAGGATAAAAGCTGTGCCAGAGTCGGTTCTGTTGTCATCTTGTTCACCAACACTCACGGTTTTCATATTCCACACTCTTAGCTTTGAATCTCTGGGCAAATTAGTAAGTACCTCGGGAATCATCCCAGTTTTTAGAGCGGAGCGCAGTAAGTGATCGTGAAAAACTCTCCATAAATGTTTGGCGGTTTTTTTTTTTTTTTTGGTTTTTTTTTTTTTTTTCGAGACAGGGTTTCTCTGTGTAGCTTTGCGCCTCTCCTGGAACTCACTTGGTAGCCCAGGCTGGCCTCGAACTCACAGAGATCCGCCTGGCTCTGCCTCCGGAGTGCTGGGATTAAAGGCGTGCGCCACCACCGCCCGGCCATGGCGTTTTTAACGTCGGCCCATTCCTGGGCATACATTTTCTCCACTTTCCACTTCAGGGTATATATGTAAGGTATTATTCAGTTTTACCGGGGAAGCAATTTAGGTAATAAACTTGGTCGTGGGAGCTTCAGAGGTGGCTCAGCTGTTTTCTCTTGGAGAGGACCTAGGTTCGATTCCCAGCACCTACATGGTGGCTCACGTAAATCCAGTTCCAGGATTTCTCACAGCCTCTTCTGGCCTCCTGGAGCACCGCACACACGTGGTGTACTTGTACACGGAGGCAAAATAATCATACACGTTAAAAGAAAACCAAACAAACTTGATCATGCTAAACAACAACCTTATTGCCTAATAGTTCTGAAATACAGGTGTTGGTCGGGCGGGGGCCCCCTTTGAAGCCCCAAGGAATGAACACACTTCCCATGTGTCTGCAGCATCTGGTACTCCAGGTGATCCTTGGCATAGGTTACCTGACTCAGGCAGGTCTCTACCTCTGCCTTCCTTTTTTCTGTGTCTTTATGTTTGTTGTAAGAATGCTTGTCGTTTTGTTCAATAGCTGGAAAAACTTTGGAGACCATAATCCCCTGTGGCCCCTGCCTCCTGTGTGTAATAACACCTATGTTAACAAAGTGGAAAGTACCACAGTGATCCTTGGAATTACCACGTGAGAGGAGAAGGATGTATCCCAACTGCCCCTCAATATTCACAATACCATATTATACAGTTACAAGAGGCTTATGAAAATAAATTCCATAAATGCCACGCAAAAGGGGTAGAGTAGCAGGGTATTATTGTGGCACATCAAGGAAAGGCTATAAATATCCTGATAAAGTATGACTAATTTGTAGTGGGTAGCTGTTCCAGCTTTAACCTTGAAACACTGCCCCTAGTGTGGCAGCAAGTAACTACCACACCTGCCCCTGGGGTGTGGCCAAGAGGAGACCCCTTAAGACCCGACTAATTCATTAAATTTTTTTTACTTTAATTAAAAAAAAAATTCAGTCGAAGAGTTTCTGACTAAAAGAATGAGACCTGAGTCATACCTCTGGTGCTGAGTGGAGACATATATTCTAAACTGATCAAAAGATAAAATTACAAAAAAAATGTATTAGACCCTCTAGAGTTAATCCAAATGGGCCTGTCAAACATCTGGCCAGAAAAATGCACCTCAGAAAGCTATCTGTTCTGGAAATGTTACAAAATATATGATAAAGCTAAAGGCATGCTAAGATGGAGGCATAATTGTCTCCTCAATGAAGCATGCATTTATGAATGTCTGAGAAGTTTCTCCCCCAAGGCAGTTAGTTGTTCACAGACCCTCACTCAGTCTGCTTGCTTTCTGAATTACAACTTTTCCACTTCCCCTTTTGTAGCTCCCCCTTTTGTAAGCCCCCAGTTGAATGCTTTCTTTTATAAGAATTACCATGGTCATGGTGTCTCTTCACAACAATACAATGGTGGCTAAGACACTGACCTTAAGAATTTCTTATCTTCCAACTCACTTAGTTTCTTGCCCTTTGAGACATTCAACTTGAGAAGTATAATATATAAGATAGTACAGTTCTCTGGGCTAGAAGCCATACTTACATTGTTAGGTCCCCATCCCACTGCTCAGCACACAGATTTCATAAATACTCGTCTGCCTTTGTTGTGACAAATACATCCTCCCCAAGTGTGTGTAGGGTATGAGACTAGAAAATGCAGAGATTTGAAGGGAGAGGGGAACAAAAGAAAATGATGGGATATTTGTGACATGAAAGCAGATAGAAATGATATTTGAGAGGAAAGAGATCAGAAAGTGTAGGCAGATTTTTTCTGTCCCACCAGCCAGCTCCCAAATAATGACATGGAGACTTATTATTAATTATAAAAGCTTGGCCAATAGCTTACACTTATTTCTAACTAGTTCCTATAACTTAAATTTACCGTATCTTTTAATCTCCATTCTTTTACTTGGTTCAGTTACCTTTATTTTGTAAAGCCCATGCCGCTTCCTCTGTGTTTCTGGTATTTCCTCATGACTCCACCCCTCTTCCCAGCATCCTCTCTGCCCCGAAAATCCTGCCTAGCTATTGGTCATTCAGCTTTTTATTAAATCAATCAGAGTGACACATATTCATAGTGTACAAAAAGATTATTCCACAAGAAAGAGAAGGGGAGGTGGCATGAGGAAACATTGAGGGGGCAAGTAAAAAGTATATATATATTTCACGATGAAACCAATTACTTTGTATGCTAACTTAAGAAAGGAATTAAAAGGGAATTTTGAAGGTGACTTTTTTTTCATTCAATGAAGGAAGGGGATGTACTAGCCATGTTCTCAATTTCTGGATTCCAAATTCAATATGACTGCCTGTGAACTGCTTTAATTAACTGAACTCCATTAATTCTTTTTTTCTTTTCCTTCTTTCTTTTCTCTTTTCTTTCTTTTTTCTTTTTCTTTTTCTTTTCTTTTTTTTTTTTTTTTTTTTTTTTTTTTTTTTTGAGACAGGGTTTCTCTGTGTAACTGTCCTAGCTGTTTTGGAACTCACTTTGTAGAACAGGCTGAACTAAAACTCACAGAAATCCACCTGCCTCTGCCTCCTAAGTGCTGATAATAAAGGTTTATGCCACCACAGCCAGCTTCCATTAATTCTTTGATAAATGATGAAGAAAGAGAAATAAGGAACAAGAATGCAAAGCCTGCAGGAGCCTGGTTTGCACTGTCTATTGAACAGACACTGGTAAAGATACCAGACACTTAGAAAGCCCTGACAAGTAAACGCTCCCCAGGAGAAAAGGAGCTACAGAATACACTCCATCGTACTGTTGTGGCATAGTCCTTTACACTGTGCAAAGATGTGTCACTCTGATTGGTTTAATGAAGAGCTGAATGGCCAGTAGCTAGGCATGAAGACATTAGGTGGGACTTCTGGGGACGGAGAGGTCTTGGGGAAGAAGAAAGGTGTCGCCAGCCAGATGGAGAGGGAGCAAGACATAGAGGAGAAGAGGTAAAAGCCACAAGCCAGATGGCAGCATGTAGATGAATAGAAATGGGTCAATTTAAGTTATAAGAGCTAGTTGGAAACAAGCCTAAGCTATAGGCCAAGCTTCCATAATAATAAGTCTCTGTGTCATTTTTTTGTGAGCTGGCAGCCCAAAGAAAATCCATCTACATATGGCATCCAAAGTGGGGGTTCGAATATCCAAACAGAGGGCCTGAGAAAGCTAAGAAAAGTTCTGGACAAAGAGCCAGGTACGGCTTTCAAGTTCTGCAGTCTCTCAGGTGGGCGGGTGCTTGGTGTACAGAGGTGCAGCAGCTACTGGCCAGCTGAGCTGAGCAGAGCAGAGCAGAGCAGAGGCTGACATTGCAGTTTAAGATTTGTCTCACCTGGTCAGAGATGGCTGCAGGTGCTTGGCAAAGTCAGGTCCAGACTGAGAAAACCTCTAAACAGATATAGTATGCTTAAAAATGTGCTTAGATGCTGAAAAAAGAAAAGAAAATGGATATCGACAGTCATAGAAAAATAAATATAGTTTAAAAATAATACTGTCTTTAAAGAGAGAGTAAAGTAATACAAAAAATAAACCATGCAAAGATGGGAAATACACAAGGTATCTGGATCCTGTATGGTACTTTTTTGACTTTGAGTTTTAAAAATGCTAATGTACAAAAAACAATAGCTTCTGAGAGACATTGGATTATGGAAATTGCTAAATTAAACCAACCTAATATTTTAAGAATGTCTTAATTTTAAAATGGAAGTCAGAAAATGTATTGTTGGGAGAAAGGTTCTGGTTTTGTTTCCACAGGAAACTAAAGGTTGTGGATTCCTTCCAGGTTAATAAAGATCAGATTTGATTGGGGTACACTCCCTGAAAATCTTAACAATAGACATGAAAAAATAAACCTAAAAAAAACCCTACAAGACAGGTGACATATTTTACCTGCCCAAACATAAAACAAAACAATCATCTTTGGCTGGCTTGTGTACAACACACAGTCCATATTTGTGTTAATGCAGAAAGTTTGTGTGTTTTCAAAGTAAGGGGACCAGAGACCAGTGAAAATGGGTGGCCCAGGTGATCCAGTGTCTCAGAGTGCCTCTGCTGCGGTTTCCTCAAAGTTCTACATCCAGAACAACTTCAAAGTTGCTAGATGGCTCAGCCTCACAGACTATTCTAGCCAGGACTGCAAAGAAGCCTTGCACAGAGACTGAACAACAAATGTTATGGTTAGCTCTCCCAGAACTTGACCATTATCCTTATTTTCTCAGGGTCCCCCAAAGATGCCATCATCCCTAGAAAACAAGAAGCAGTCTATAGAACATGACACCCACATTCCCAAGAGGTAGGGTGGATGATTTTTGGTCATTTGATGGATTATAATGTTTGTCTTCATTTAGGGGGTTTGTTACAAGTTATTATTGGTCACAGTCAGGAAGAAATTAAACAAAACAGATTAGATTCTGAGATTTCTTTCTGAAGGGAAAAAGGGAATATAGTATAGAAATGATGGGATAAAAGGGTATATTGTTGAGTTTACTTTTGAACAATCACTAGTTTCAAATATTTTACATTGGTATGGATTTTTATATATTGATACAAATTTAAGGTTACTTTTGTTATATATGTTTCTACTCTTGTTTGAGGTATTGTACCTTTGCAGCTCATTTAAAAATATAATGTAAACTTTTAGTTCTTGAAAGCTATTTAAGATAATAAAGAAATACAGGTTAATAGTTAGTCATCTATAACAGTCAAACTTACAATCATGTTAGGTATGTTTTCAAGGTCAAACAGAGATATATTTTAAATAGATAGATGGTCTTCAAACACTTCAAAGACCTACAGAATATGGCATTTTAATGTTTTAATAATATAAGGCTTTTTATGACAGGAGACACATCTGCTCTTGGCAGCACCAGTTTACTTAAAAAAAGGATGATGGGTATCAAGAAGCCTCTATATGGAGTTTGCTTTCCTTGTGGCAAAAGCTAGCCATTTTGGCAAAAAAATGCCCTTGCCTCAACTACTGGCAGTATGCAAACTAGACAAGCAGGACACACAAAAAAGTGAGTGCTGAACTTTGTCAATACAAGGTGGGGCAGTCCTTTAAAAATTCTGGCTTCACAGAAGTCTTTCAGATATTTTAGGCCCATAGGCCAAAGATGGATGCCCCAACAATGCAGAGGAACATTGGGTGACTGTCCATGCAGCCAAATGTCTCTGTCATTTCTATAGTTTTGGGATTTGTTTGCTCTGCACTTCCTGTTTACTCAGGTAATATGTCCTTCTTGTGCCTCTAGTGGAGGTGAGGACTAAATAGTTACAGTTGCAGTTTTTCTTGTTACCAAATTAAGAAAAAAACTCACAAAAGAGGTGTAAAGTATATAAGGTTGAGAGACATAAAAGCTTACGTTGTTTATCTAAAAATGTTTTGAGATAAAAAAATTAGTTTGGGGTTGGTAATACAATTTAGGATAGAAAGTAAATTAGGTACAAAAGGTTAGACTCATCAAGAGAGGATAGATAATGGAGTATTTTCTCTAAATTTGCCAAATACAAATGGACTGGACATTGTGAATGTAATTCTAACCTGATAATTGTTTGTATCGTTTATAGTTTTATTATATTAGAATTAAAACCTTTCCTTTTTATTTAGACAAAAGGGTGAAATGTTGTGGACTATTCCTTTATACTGTGTAAAGATGTGTTACTGTGATAGATTTGATAAAGAGCTAAATGTCCAATATCTAGGCAGAAAGAGGTAATTAGGTAGAACTTCTTGGGACAGAGAGGTCTTGGGGAAGAAGAAAGGAGTCACCAGCTGGAGGCAGAAGATGCAGGACATGTAGGAGGACAGGTAAAAGCCATGAGTCACATGGACAACACATAAATGAACAAAAATGGGTTAATTTGAGTCATAAAAGCTAGTTAGAAACAAGCCTAAGCCAAGGCCAAGATTTCATAATTAATAAGTCTCTGTGTCATGATTTGGGCACTGGCCATCCAAAAAAGCCTATTATACCATACAATCTGGGAATATATGTGTCTTCAATTCCAGAGACAGCAGCATCCCATCTTTTGGAAGACACATCCAAGTAACTGCTTACATGTGCATACCAATTCCCTACTACCCATTGGCCTCTTCACTAAGGAGAATAAAAATTTGTTATACACCAGAGCCCAATTATTAGTGATGTATTTTAAAATTGAGTCTCCTATGCTGTCAATATGGATTCATGTAGGAGTTTTGTTTGTTTGGAATAAGAAAGTATTTTTCATTTTTACAGAATAATACTAAAGAATTAAATCCTATATTTTTTTTTGAGCTGAGGATCGAACCCAGGGCCTTGCGCTTGCTAGGAAAGCGCTCTACCACTGAACTAAATCCCCAACCCAACATCCTATAATTTTGTTTCTAACCCAGTAACTAGCAATAACTGTCTAATGATCTCATTGTACATGTCCATATTTGTAGAAGTTTTTGATGCTATATGATAAAGGTTTAATCTGTAGTTAGGTGAGGTTCTATCTCAAAAGTTAGTCACTGCTGTAGCTATTGCAGTTAAGAGCACTGACATTTGAGTCAACTTCTGTGTGGTGATAGACAACATAGTTAGCCTTTATTTATGCTCATGCCTGCTGCTTTCTGGTGGCCAGATATCCTCTCTGTCCAGAAGGTATAGCGGAATCCTGGGCCAGGGGAACACATGAAGGGGTGAAGCTCACCCCGCCCCATAGGCTCAGTTCCCATCCCAGAAGGAAAGGACCCAGCAAGGATGCTTTTTAAATCAGGGCTTAAAACTAGGCTGCACAGCCACTTCTGGGACTAGAAGGCTAACCACCAGATATAACATTAGCCAGTTATCATTCTTTAAATATCATTTTTTGAAATTCCCTGACAAAATTAAAGGTCATTTGGTATTCTGTGGAGCTGTAGATATTCAGTTTGTAGCTTACATGAATATAGTTTAAAGCTTAAAAAAAACCTTCAGTATCCAAGGAAATCTGTATCAATCTTGGACGCACACCAGAATCACCTGTAGAGTTAAGAATGTCAGTAATTCTCGTTTAATTGATCTTGAGTGGAGCTAGGTGGAGAGACTGTGGAAGCTCCCCAGGTCGCCCTAATGTGCAGCTAAATCAAGAGGTACTTGTTTCAAGAATGCGCTTCAAATTGTTGATTTGATTTTCTAATTAAACCTTACAGTTTCTTGGTCTTCACTTTTATTGCAGTCAACAGAGATAAGAATTAAATGTATAATACACTTGTTTCTCTAAGTAGAATTATCTTGGATACACAGTGTCTTTCTCATTCACTGAGGTCTCTTATAATGGCTAAACACCACAAGATGCTAAGAAGTCTAAATTTGAACTGTATGCTTCAAAATCTGTCTGGGAAATGTGTCTTCTCTTTTTCTTTTTCAATTCAGCATGATTTATAAAATTTTCTCTCTTCTTCCCCCCATAAGAATAAGGCATGTCAGGTGTGATCTCCCACACATCTCCCTTCCCCTAAGTTCTTTAGAATTCTAATTAGCTTGTTTTTTGTTTTTAAACTAATTTGGGTTTTCTGTTTCCCAGTTGTATAAGCAGAGATAAAGGGCATGTTGATGTAAAGCTTAAATGAAAATTTAGCAAAGTTGGTTTTGTTTTCAGGATCTATTAGAAGGATAAAGCAAACAGAGCCATCATCATTGGGTTTTGCTTTAGGAAAAAAAAGAACTGCTTCAGAATAAGGGACTTTGTTTTTCCATACCATAATTTATTAAAATGTGAACTACTACAGTCTAAACACTAACTATTCATTATGTTCTGCTTGTCTTCCAGTAAACAGAAAGTTAACCTTGTCTCTATGTTCTTTCTTTCTTTCTTTTTTTGTGACATGCTTTGAAGTGGTAGAAAAACTATGTGCCCAGGGTAAAAGTTGATCTGATCATTGTACTAAGTGCCACCTTTAGTGAATGTCACATCAGCATGTGATAGGAAAATAAAAATTAGCACCACTTAAAGCCTACAATCAATCCCTTACACACAGCACATGTGCACTGCTCTATGATTTTTGCACCTAAGCCGCATACGGCAGTTCTGTCTTCTTAACCAGAAGGAAGACGATGGGGAGGTTTGTAGTGTACACTTTTAACTTTGCCTTTGCGCTCAGTGAAAGCTATTTTCTTTACGAAGCACTGATTAGTTTTACTTTATGATTTCTTTAACCTATGAGCAATAAAGACACAATGACTAAGCATGTATTTATTAAGGGAGCAAAGAAGAAACTGTGCTTTCAAAGAAGAACAAATACCTTTTTTCCTTTTTAAAAGATTTATTTTTGCCTGTGTGTTTGTTTCTGTGTGTGGATGCCACCTAGGAGTCCAGAATAGGGCACCTGGTCCCTGGGAGCTGGAGTTACAGGCAGTTGTGAGCTGCCTGACTTAGGTGGTTAATAAACTCAGGTCCTCTGGAAAAAAAGCAAGAGCTCTTAACCGTGAAGGCAAGACATCTCCCCAGCACCAACAAATAATTTTCTAGTTATTACAATTTTACCTTTTAAAAATGATAGACAATTTAATTTGGACCTTAGAACAATGACCTAACCCTTCTTCTTTTTAGAATAGAAGGAAAAATTAACTCACTCTGTCACCAGGATGCAGATGCCAAGTTAGAATTAAAGGGCCAAGAGACTTACTATGAGAAAAACCCATGAAACAGGGCGAGTAGGAGAATTGGATCAGTGGAGGAGAGATTTAGACCCAATAGCTATGAAGGGAGAGGCAAAAGGAGGTGGCTGTGGTAAGAAGCCTTCAAATAGTAAAAGCTCTGAGAAAGTCTTGGCTAGGCAACAGGGAAGGAGGTCCAGAGTAGAGATTTACTGTGAAAGAAGGCCTTTAGAGTAGGAACGTCTGGGGTCTAGTGTGGTGCTCCACTAAGCTGCTGCTACTAGGAGCTAGGAAGAACATAGCTGTAGCACTCATACTGTGATGGCTTCTGAAGTAAGTCATAGCACCTCTCAGCATACGCTTCTTCTTCCTTGAGAAGAGCTTGGAACAGTTCACTCCCACGGTGACAAGAATCCAGCCTTCATGTAATCTGTCTCTGTATGCTGGAGAGGAAGCCCCTCCAATGTCCCTATAACTCTGTCCTCCCAAAGAAAAGTTAGAAGAAAGAGATCTGTGGGACAAACCGTCATCTCCTAGGGGCTGCCACAGGGACTCAAGGGCTTCCTTTTCCACTTCCCATTGGAACTCATCTTACCCTTCTCTACTAACAAGATGCTGATGTGGCCTTACACAGTCATCGGTGCTGTTTGTACTCACAGTTTTCTAAAGCTTTGTGTGCATTAAAGAT